AGTATGTGAGTGTGTGTTGACCTGATGAAGAGATTTATAAGAACAGGCCATTTACAACAAAACAATGTGATCTTAGAAAAGAAGAAACCGCGATATTTAGGATCAAAAATGTGTATTCTTAACATTTAGACAGAATAGAAGAGCCGACGTGTGTTTTCATTTAATATATGAATGAAAAGCAACCGTCTTTTTGTTTTAATAAACCAGGTGTCCAAAGAGAATTCCGGCAGTACTTCTACCCATAATATAAGTGAGAGACTACAGTTTTTTGTATCCTCACCACGTAATCCCGTTACTCCCAAAGCCTGCAGTCGACAGATGGAGAGTGACAGTCCTCATAAACATCACTCTGGAAGACTGATGTCCTGCAAGCTGCAGCCGGGGTGGAAACTATGAAAAAGCCAGTGATCGCAGCGGGTGTTGAAGGATATCAGGGTGAAGAGCCAGCTGTCGCCTTCACAAACACAGCTTTTAACGCGGGGGGTCGTGGGAGCTGTGTACAAAACTCTGATGGAGGTCTTCCCCTCAACTGTGTGTCACTGTTTTATACGATACCATCTAATTGTTCTTTACTGTTGTTCTTGCATCAAAGCAGCTCCAAGGGTCCCTATTATGCTCCTCTTCAGGCCAATATCAGTATGTAGAGTCTCTACTTTAAAGAGTCCTCTCCTGCTGATGTTCAGGTGTATATCAGTATGTAGTGTCTCTACTTTAAAGAGTCCTCTCCTGCTGATGTTCAGGTGTATATCAGTATGTAGTGTCTCTACTTTAAAGAGTCCTCTCCTGCTGATGTTCAGGTGTATATCAGTGTGTAGTGTCTCTACTTTAAAGAGTCCTCTCCTGCTGATGTTCAGGTGTATATCAGTATGTAGTGTCTCTACTTTAAAGAGTCCTCTCCTGCTGATGTTCAGGTGTATATCAGTATGTAGTGTCTCTACTTTAAAGAGTCCTCTCCTGCTGATGTTCAGGTGTATATCATGATGTAGTGTCTCTACTTTAAAGAGTCCTCTCCTGCTGATGTTCAGGTGTATATCAGTATGTAGAGTCTCTACTTTAAAGAGTCCTCTCCTGCTGATGTTCAGGTGTATATCAGTATGTAGTGTCTCTACTTTAAAGAGTCCTCTCCTGCTGATGTTCAGGTGTATATCAGTGTGTAGTGACTCTACTTTAAAGAGTCCTCTCCTGCTGATGTTCAGGTGTATATCAGTATGTAGTGTCTCTACTTTAAAGAGTCCTCTCCTGCTGATGTTCAGGTGTATATCAGTATGTAGTGTCTCTACTTTAAAGAGTCCTCTCTTGCTGATGTTCAGGTGTATATCAGTATGTAGTGTCTCTACTTTAAAGAGTCCTCTCCTGCTGATGTTCAGGTGTATATCAGTGTGTAGTGTCTCTACTTTAAAGAGTCCTCTCCTGCTGATGTTCAGGTGTATATCAGTATGTAGTGTCTCTACTTTAAAGAGTCCTCTCCTGCTGATGTTCAGGTGTATATCAGTATGTAGTGTCTCTACTTTAAAGAGTCCTCTCCTGCTGATGTTCAGGTGTATATCAGTATGTAGTGTCTCTACTTTAAAGAGTCCTCTCCTGCTGATGTTCAGGTGTATATCAGCGTGTAGTGTCTCTACTTTAAAGAGTCCTCTCCTGCTGATGTTCAGGTGTATATCAGTATGTAGTGTCTCTACTTTAAAGAGTCCTCTCCTGCTGATGTTCAGGTGTATATCAGTATGTAGTGTCTCTACTTTAAAGAGTCCTCTCCTGCTGATGTTCAGGTGTATATCATGATGTAGTGTCTCTACTTTAAAGAGTCCTCTCCTGCTGATGTTCAGGTGTATATCAGTATGTAGTGTCTCTACTTTAAAGAGTCCTCTCCTGCTGATGTTCAGGTGTATATCAGTATGTAGTGTCTCTACTTTAAAGAGTCCTCTCCTGCTGATGTTCAGGTGTATATCAGTGTGTAGTGACTCTACTTTAAAGAGTCCTCTCCTGCTGATGTTCAGGTGTATATCAGTATGTAGTGTCTCTACTTTAAAGAGTCCTCTCCTGCTGATGTTCAGGTGTATATCAGTATGTAGTGTCTCTACTTTAAAGAGTCCTCTCTTGCTGATGTTCAGGTGTATATCAGTATGTAGTGTCTCTACTTTAAAGAGTCCTCTCCTGCTGATGTTCAGGTGTATATCAGTGTGTAGTGTCTCTACTTTAAAGAGTCCTCTCCTGCTGATGTTCAGGTGTATATCAGTATGTAGTGTCTCTACTTTAAAGAGTCCTCTCCTGCTGATGTTCAGGTGTATATCAGTATGTAGTGTCTCTACTTTAAAGAGTCCTCTCCTGCTGATGTTCAGGTGTATATCAGTATGTAGTGTCTCTACTTTAAAGAGTCCTCTCCTGCTGATGTTCAGGTGTATATCAGTATGTAGTGTCTCTACTTTAAAGAGTCCTCTCCTGCTGATGTTCAGGTGTATATCAGTATGTAGTGTCTCTACTTTAAAGAGTCCTCTCCTGCTGATGTTCAGGTGTATATCAGTGTGTAGTGTCTCTACTTTAAAGAGTCCTCTCCTGCTGATGTTCAGGTGTATATCAGTGTGTAGTGTCTCTACTTTAAAGAGTCCTCTCCTGCTGATGTTCAGGTGTATATCAGTATGTAGTGTCTCTACTTTAAAGAGTCCTCTCCTGCTGATGTTCAGGTGTATATCAGTATGTAGTGTCTCTACTTTAAAGAGTCCTCTCCTGCTGACGTTCAGGTTCATGTTGTGGGAGAGAAAGCCTTTGCAGACCATTTGCACAAAACCCATTACAGGGAAGGGAACACCCAAAAAGGCACAATAGGGCCTCTTTAACTCCACAATCTATACTTATAATTTGAGAGAAATGTATTCGTAATACTAACATACCTTTACTTTAACTGAAGGATTTTAATACACACTGTAAAATGTAGTGACGTTTTTCAAAGTGTGGCATTAGGACTTTTACGTAGCACTCATGAAGCTAATGCAGTAGCACTTCATCTGGTTGGGACAATAGTGTAGCTGCAGGATTCTTGCTTTGATACAAGCCTTAACATTTCTTGAAGTCACAGAGAAATCCATGGTTTTTAAAAAAAAGTATCTTTTAACTCAGATGTTGTTCTCAGGCCGATAGACAGGTACATGTTTGCTGACAGGAAGCATAATAAATACGAGAGATAATTCATTCCTCTGACAGATGGAGGCCAATTAGACTCTCCGGCACCTCGTTAAGGTGACCGGCTGAGCCCACTGGGTCTGTGTGTGTGGATACTCTTGTACTTGTCACATAGTAAGGTCTGATAAATGTTCTTAACCGACAGAGCAAGGACAATTTTGTACGTGTCCTTATTTAATTAAAGCCCGTTTAAAAAATATTGAAATTGGATATAACGATACCGGTTAGAATTATGTTCAGGTTAGATTCAGGGAATGCATAGTCACATAGGGTCCCGACAACGATATAAGTACAGGAATGTGGGTGTGGTACCTGTCCATCTTCATTGCTGTCTCCCTCAGGTCAGGAAGTGAGACTTCGGGGGGGCATTAGTGTCTAACCTGATCTGACAGTTTGTTTTGTGTGTTTCAGACGCCAGAATGAATGGTGAGCTGATAGCTGGCCGCACCACGACGGCCAAGAGAGGAAACAGCACCTCCTACAGGTGAGTCTGAAACACAACACTCTTTGTCTGTGGCTTTAGTGATGAAGCCGGTGGAGAGGCAGTATGTTCACTATCCTTTAACTTTCTGAAGATTGATTAGGGCTCCCATTGAGGGTCTTATTTCCAGATGTCAGGAGTCCTTCCTTTAACTTTTAACTTTGTCTCAATGTCGTGATGTAAAAACAACACGGATGCTACAATCAAGGTGTGTTTTATTTGATTGCTAAGAGCATTGAAAATCACTTTGGTAGCTGTCCCAGACGTTTCCATTAAATGACCTTCAAATATAGTTTTGCCTTACTTGTTATTGGGGTTAATGCTAACGCTAGAATTGGAACGCTAAATATGTATATGCCATACATAAATGAATAACATCAACTCAACATTTTCTGCATTATATGGCGTCAATATTTCAACTTTGTGAGTCGGGAAATAATTTTCCTCAATATTTTGACGCCACATAAATGCAGCATTTCCTAAACCTTACTATCCGATATTCACTCCCACTTTAAGGCCGTGAATGGTCAGCTGTGCGTAGGTAAATAAGAAAGCTCACTTTTTTTGTTCTTTACACAACTTTTTCTAATCCGTTTACATTATTGCCAAGCCAGTTTGAAAATACAATATGTCTTGGTATTTTGGTGCTTAACCATTAACCAGTGGCGAACCGTCAGGGCCTTCAAGGTATCCAGAGAATACCCTGGAACACTCAGATAAAACAAACAAAAAATCGATTTAATTATATAAATAAAATGTATATAAAATGAATAAATGAGGTATCTGTGTTGTTGATCTGTAATATTACAGTGGCGGGGGGTGTGTGTGTCTACAGAAGGTCCAGTTGTGACGGTTCGCCACTGCCATTAACACAGTTCAAAAGTCAAAAGACATTACATGAAACAGAGGGAATACAAAATAAACATGCACGTGAAACGGGTTTTTAAAGCAGGAGAGCTGTACTGTTCTGTGCAGCATGATACACATCTTAATACTTCCAGCACTGAAAATGGGGTTTGATATAACGTATGGGAAATCTCAAGGCTTGACATTTTGATATTAACAGCATTTTAAACACACATAGTGTAGCAGCTGTACTCTCAGTAGTTTTCAGAGCTGCTCGTTGGTCTGTAGTTTTGCCCTCGGTGTTTGAATGACAGAGAGTGACAATCCAGCTCTTCTTTAACCTCGTTCTCGGTTAACATGGAAACTAAAGCCAAAATGTCCTCCCAAATCCCACCGCCGCCCGCTGCTGGACGGATTAAAGCCGGGGCAAACAGGACTCTGTGTCTCCCAGAGCTGGGATTTAAAGCCAGGCAGCGACTGTGAGGATCTGTGCAGAACTCCTCAGAAACGTGAGGTCATGTCCTCTGGGTGGTTTTTTGTTTCTGAGTTAATGAGGTTTTATAAAACTGGGGGATTTATTCTATTATTTAAATTGAAAGCTTACACATTGTGGTCATTCAAAAAGATAATTCCAGTACCTTTAGACCTTGAGAATTGTGCGCCGTACATTCAGGGGTTTGGCAACCTGTACGGAGATTAAATTATACAGTTGGATCTCGCAGGGCAGTCCTCCTCCAAAGCCAATGGTGAATGAAAATGTTATGTTGGACAGAGTTATGAGTAAACCAGTTGCAACCGATTGTATAGAAGTCTATGAGAAAATGGCCTTACTCACCTCATCTACTCTGAAACGTGTTAACATGCAATTTAAATACAATTAAGATATAACACAGGTATGTTTGTCCAGGAGATCTACCATATTGTTGTTTGCAGTAATCAAGTCTTGAAATGTCAGCTCAGGTCAGCTCCTATAAGTACCTTGGTGTCCATCTAGATAATACACTCAGCTGGAAGGCGCATGTTCAAGGTCTGTGCTCTAGACTTCAACAGCGATTGTACTTTCTGCGTCGACTCCGGGCTTTCGGAGTCGACCAGAAGTTCATGTTACTGTTCTATCATGCAGTGTTGGAGAGCACCATGAGGTATGGTGTTACTGCCTGGTATGGTAACTTGACAGTGCAGTCAAAGTCACAGATCGCTCGCCTGGTTCAGACTGCTATGAAAATGATGGGGGTTAAAAAATACCCATCTCTCCAAAACATATACGAGCAGTCCGTTATCAGACAGGCAAACAAAATGGTGTCTGATCCCTCCCACGTACTTCACCCAGGATTCCAGCTCCTACCTTCTGGTAGAAGATTCAGGGTTCCCAAGAGCAGGCTGAACCGCTATAAGCACTCATTCCTACCTGTCCATTAAGCTTCTTAACATTCACATGAAATGAAATGTAGTCAAATGTAATGAAATGTACTTTTTAAATGTTGGCCATGAGGGGTAGTGCAACAGGTCGCCATTGTCAGTATGTGCGTCTGTGTATTGTGTTTGTTCAAACGGTGTATGACTGATGATATGTGTGTGTCTCTTAATGTCCACTATGTTCGTATATGTACTGTATGCGGAACTGCAGGACGGAGTCCAGAACAAATTTCCTTACGGGGACAATAAAGTATATCGTATCGTAAATGACATATATAGACATTTTTATTGATTGGGATAAACCCCTTGAGATGCACCATCTCGTTTTCAAGGGGGTCCCGACAATAGCAACAACTTACAGACATAAACAAAAAGACAAAATGCAAAACATGACACACAAGACAAACCACATACAGTCTGTTAAGTGAAATTCAAGCAATGCACACAATCATTACAATTTGAGACAGTCGAGCAAATCAGTTTCATCAATATCAGTTTCATTACTAACAAGTGCAGACCAGCTGAAAGTGAGATAGCAATGCATGTTTAAATAAACCCAATGATGACAGAGATCTAATAGCAGCAGGTCAAGTATTCCAGTCGGTTGGGGCTTTGAACATGAACGCTCTTCTGCCAATACATTGGGGACAGAGAAATAAATCTGAACAGAATGTCTAACTTGATGATCAGGCCAGAACAAACGTTTATGATACTTCCAAGTTTAGTTCAGCAGGATAATCTCCTCATATTAACCACTTAGTAAAAAGCTACTATGCTATAAGGAACGTTGAAAACCAGTTATATCTGTATTTGATGAAACTTGAGATGAAATTAATTTTTTTAAAGTCTCCTTTTGTGAATACTTTTGTCATCGAGGAATGTTGAGCTTTAGGGAGTTCCCTCAGAAAAGGTTTATCGTTGTTAGTTTTGATTAGTACACGGAAGAAGGAGGCCGAGCCCATCTGGCACACAAGCTGTGAGCAGGGGTGTGTCTGTCCTTCATGAAGGTACATACTTTGCTGTATGTTTTAGATACTTGCTCGATAAGTAAGTCTTAAGGATTTCCACTTAACTTCACATTTGTATTGAACCACAAGTACCTGACAGCTTAAACAAATGAGTTTATAAAATATGATGTAATTCATTACTTAGACTTCCCATTCTCTTGCACAAATGTATCTGTTTTATTGTCCTATGTCCTATATGTAACTACAGTGAACACAAATATAAACGCAACACTTTTGTTTTTGCTCCCATGTTTCATGAGATGAACTCAAAGATCTAAAACATTTTCTATAAACACAAAATAACCATTTCTCTCAAATATTGTTCACAAATCTGAAAGAATCTGTGATAGTGAGCACTTCTCCTTTGCCGAGATAATCCATCCCACCTCACAGGTGTGGCATATCAAGATGCTGATTAGACAGCATGATTATTGCACAGGTGTGCCTTAGGCTGGCCACAATAAAAGGCCACTCTGAAACGTGCATTTTTGCTTTATTGGGGGGGTCCGAAAACCAGGCAGTATCTGGTGTGAGGGTTAGGGGTAGGGTTAGGGTAATGTTGTGAATCGAGTGGCCTGTGTTCGTCGACCATAACATACGCCTGCCCATACCATAACCCCACCACCACCATGGGCCACTCGATTCACAACACTGCAGCTGCTTGATGATAAAGCCTTGAATACTGAATCCATTTTAAGAAATGAAATGGCTTCATACGGTTGCCGACAGGTGCAAACACGGCCTAAAAGACTTCCATGAAGAGAAACACGCTGCAGATTCAGAAACGACACAAATATAAAAACGCAAATGTGATAAAACACATGAAACTTGGGCAGCATTTTGAAAATATTCACCAACTAAAGAACACATTAAATAACTAAATAAGGGCTGTGGCTCAGTGGGTTAGTGCGCTGATCATTGAATCAGGGGGTTGCAAGTTCGAGTCCCACTGCAGTCAGCATGTCGTTGTGTCCCTGAGACACTTCGCCCCAAGTCGCTCCTGTGGGGATTCGCCACAGTATTGAGTATGTAAGTTGCTTTGGATAAAAGCGTCTAACATGTGATGTCATTCATTTCAAATAACCATCCATACATTTTAAAAAACGATGTGCAAATTGAAAATGTGCATAAAATCAGATCAAAATGAGACTTCTTACTTTTCATCCAGACCACGGCGAGAAACTGTACGAAAACGGGATTTCATTGGCTGACGCTTCTGCCGAGGCGCCAAAAGTTGAACATTGCTCAACTTTTGCAGCGAGCCACGCCAGCAAAGCTCCGCGTCGCTTCCCACAATGCAGTTCGGCGAAAAATGACGTCACCCCATTCAAAGTGAATGGTGAAGCTTTCAACGCACGCCGCTGTGTGGACGAGCCTTAAGAGTGGCATGATGACACAGCCTAGAGAGATAGGCATATGACTGTCATGTCTATTGCTTACGCAGGCCTTAGCTAATCTGAACTAATGTCAGAATACTGCTTTGAACCGGCTGTAACTCCCTCTCTTGTATATCAGCATATCAAGGACTCTACTCAGGGAACTATTTGTCCCACGCAGCCCTGTGTGTGATGACAGGATAATAAATACATGGATCCTGATTTTGAAGACCAAGCCGGTGACGAGTGACATTTTTCTAACAATATGTGTCTTGTAAAACCTATAAACTACTACAACAACTATTGTCTGTTTTATATTTTAGTCAAGATGGTACTTTTCGTACGGCATGCTGAAGCCTGTAAGTAGCTTTCGACCACAATCCATTTGTGCATTGAATTACCAGATGCTGACGCTTTGCAGCTCAGTTTGTAAATTGATCTGTGCTTTTGTTAGAGGTGGAATTGCATAAACGGTGTTTTCCCCACTTCCTGATTTGCTTCACTTGAGCGTGGTGAGGAGGCAGACGCAGGGAAATCATAAGAGACAGAGAAAGTGTTCATAGGAGAGAGAGAGAGAGAGAGAACTGTAATTATGTTTTCTTGTCCCTCCATCGTCCTGCTGAGATGAGCGTTTAGTGGAAAGAGATGAATCAGCGTTTCCTTTGAGGAGAAAAATAACAGCTCGAAGGGACAAAAAACTCACTTTATCTAATCTGAAACGTGTTAACATGCAAGGACAGAAAATGCAATTTAAATACAATGAAGATATAAGACAGGTATATGTTTGTCCAGGAGATCTACCATATTGTTGTTTGCAGTGATCAAGTCTTGAAATGACATCAGGCCAGAACAAACGTTTATGATACTTCCAAGTTTTGTTCAGCAGGATAATCTCCTCATATTAACATCACTTTATGTCAAAAGCTAACGTTACGCTATAAAGAAACTACAGCACGGTCACATGACGTCACGTCACCACCGCTAAGCTAAAGGCGGCTAATGTTGGGCTATAAAGCAACTACAGCACGGTCACATGACTTCACATCACCACCGCTAAGCTAAAGGTGGCTAATGTTGGGCTATAAAGGAACTACAGCACGGTCACATGACTTCACGTCACCACCGCTAAGCTAAAGGTGGCTAATGTTGGGCTATAAAGCAACTACAGCACGGTCACATGACTTCACATCACCACCGCTAAGCTAAAGGTGGCTAATGTTGGGCTATAAAGGAACTACAGCACGGTCACATGACTTCACGTCACCACTGCTAAGCTAAAGGTGGCTAATGTTGGGCTATAAAGGAACTACAGCACGGACACATGACTTCACGTCACCACCGCTAAGCTAAAGGAGGCTAATGTTGGGCTATAAAGGAACTACAGCACGGTCACATGACTTCACGTCACCACCGCTAAGCTAAAGGTGGCTAATGTTGGGCTATAAAGGAACTACAGCACGGTCACATGACTTCACGTCACCACCGCTAAGCTAAAGGAGGCTAATGTTGGGCTATAAAGGAACTACAGCACGGTCACATGACTTCACGTCACCACCGCTAAGCTAAAGGTGGCTAATGTTGGGCTATAAAGGAACTACAGCACGGACACATGACTTCACGTCACCACCGCTAAGCTAAAGGAGGCTAATGTTGGGCTATAAAGGAACTACAGCACGGTCACATGACTTCACGTCACCACCGCTAAGCTAAAGGTGGCTAATGTTGGGCTATAAAGGAACTACAGCACGGTCACATGACTTCACGTCACCACCGCTAAGCTAAAGGAGGCTAATGTTGGGCTATAAAGGAACTACAGCACGGTCACATGACTTCACGTCACCACCGCTAAGCTAAAGGTGGCTAATGTTGGGCTATAAAGGAACTACAGCACGGTCACATGACTTCACGTCACCACCGCTAAGCTAAAGGAGGCTAATGTTGGGCTATAAAGGAACTACAGCACGGTCACATGACTTCACATCACCACCGCTAAGCTAAAGGAGGCTAATGTTGGGCAATAAAGGAACTACAGCACGGTCACATGACTTCACGTCACCACCGCTAAGCTAAAGGTGGCTAATGTTGGGCTATAAAGGAACTACAGCACGGTCACATGACTTCACGTCACCACCGCTAAGCTAAAGGAGGCTAATGTTGGGCTATAGAGGAACTACAGTACGGTCACATGACTTCACGTCACCACCGCTAAGCTAAAGGCGGCTAATGTTGGTCTATAAAGGAACTACAGCACGGTCACAGGACTTCACGTCACCACCGCTAAGCTATCGATGTTTTTCTGCTGCTGTGTCATTGTTCCCATCAGGAGAAAAGCCTCTAATAACACCATCAGGTTCTCCAGCAGTGAAAAGAGTCAATTAAAAGGTCTAATTGAAACCCAAAGGGGCTTCTTCACTGTGATTATGAGCGCATTACTGACTATCACTGCTAAATTATTCTGCATGTTATACAGCAGCAGTGGTGGAAGTGATCCATGTAATGAAGTGCATTAACTGGATTATAGTACTTTAATATTTATTTATTTTACTTTTGTGTAAAATGGTTGGTACAGAGACGGAATAAGGATATTTAGTTGTAGGAAAGTGACAAAAATAAAACTTTTTAAAATCGTAAATTTGGAGGGTGATAATTAGAAAACATTTAATATTTAGAGAAACAATACATAATAATTAAAGAAATACGTGGTAATATTTATTAAATAAAAAAAGTATTTAATAAAAAAAAAAAACGAAAGTGGTATTTCAAGAAAATTAGTATTAATATTTAGAGAAAATAAATGTAATAATTTGAGAAAACATGTATTAAATATGAAAGAAAAACCCATGCAGACAAAAAAAAGTGTAATAATTTGTTGTGATGTTTCGTATCGCAGTGTTTCAATAAAAGAAAAACATTTTGACAAAAAACACATAATAATTAAAGAAATAAGGTAAAAGTAAAGTGAAACTTGTTTATTTTCACTTAAACACAATTGTATATATTATAAACTTGTTAGGCCGTAACATCTTTCATATGTATATCACCATTCAAACATGTTTAAAACAATAAGAACACCCACACAGCTCAGTAAACACTGACATGTTGACTTTATTTGATAATTTCAGTAAAAAAATAATGTTTTCTAACATTTTCTTTGTCTTTTCCGCCCTCAGATCCGACTATGAGATGGAGTATGACAGATACCCTGCTGATCACTACAACAGGTACCCAACATCTAATCTTTTATTAACTTGTTCCACTTGCCCTGGGGCGGCTGTGGCTCAGTGGATAGTGTGCTGGACTTCGAATCAGGGGGTACTAAGTTCGAGTCCCACAGCAGTCAGCATGTCGTTGTGTCCCTGAGACACTTCACCCCAAATTGCTCCTGTGGGGATTGTCCACAGTAAGTCGCCTTGGATAAAAGCGTCTAACAAGTGACATGTGATGATATGCCTTACACAGGACACAAGCTCATATGGCAGTATTCATGTTGTGACACTTTGACAATGAAATAAAATAAAACCCCTCAAAACAACATTAGATTCTCACTTTAATCTCAGAAATCTCTTTTTCTCCGATTTCTTTTAAACTTTTGGTCACATCCCAATTTATTTTTCTCATTGGCCCTAACCCTCTTCAGAATAGATGCAGCAAACTTAAAAATAATAAATACATGTAGTATAACTATGTGACCCCCGACCTAATAGACAGGAGTTTTTTTAAAGAATGCCGTTGTCTTTGCTGAACGAAGGGAAAAGAACGAATGGAATTAATGAGGGAAACACCTTCTGGCAAACTGTCATGATGAAGCTCCGCCCACCCTGTGGTTCATATGAGTTGAACAAGGAAACACAGGATTGCTCAATGAGATGACACACACACACACACACACACACACACACACTTACACACTTACACACACACACACACACACACACACACACACACACACACACACACACACACACACACACACACACACACACACACACACACACACACACACACACACACACACACACACACACAGAGACGGACAGGCTTACCGTCAGCTAACAGGGAGTGAATGCTGTGTGTTCTTTGTCACTCGGAGACTAAATGGCTTCAAGGTTAGAGGAAGATCTCTCCTGTCCCGTCTGCTATGAGCTTTTTAAAGATCCTGTCATCCTGTCATGCAGCCACAGTGTTTGTAAAGACTGTGTGGAGTACTGGTGGGTGGAGAAAGTAATCCAAGACTGTCCTCTTGTAGGAGTATTTCAACATCAGAGGTACGTACAGTAGCAACCTGGCGTTAAAGAACCTGTGTGAGAGTTTCTCACTGGAGACGAATCCGATAAGATCATATCCACGATCAGAAGGTGAGGGTAATCTCTGCAGACTGCACTCTGAGAAACTCAAACTCTTCTGTCTGGACCATCAGCAGCCAGTGTGTGTCGTCTGCAGAGATTCAGAGAAACACAGCGACCACAGATTCAGACCCATCGATGAAGCTGCTCAGGATCTCAGAGAGAAGCTCCGGAGATCTCTGAAGCCCTTCAAGAAGAAGTTAGAGGATTTAAAAAAAGTTATAATGAATTGTAATCCAACATCAGAACACATACAAGTCCAGGCCCGACGCACAGAGAGGCAGATTAAGGAGCAGTTTCAGAAGCTTCACCAGTTTCTAGAAGAGGAAGAGGAGGCCAGGATGGCTGCACTGAGGGAGGAAGAGGAGCAGAAGAGGAGGGTGATGGAGGCTGTGAGCAGAGAGATAGCAGCTCTTTCACACACAGTCAGAGCCACAGAGGAGGAGCTGAGAGCTGAAGACGTCTCCTTCCTGCTCAACTACAAGGCCGCAGTGGGGAGGCTGCAGCGCCCCCTGCTGGAGGATCCACAGCTGCCCTCAGGAGCTCTGATAGACCAGGCCAAACACCTGGGCAACCTCAGCTTCAACATCTGGAGCAAGATGAAGGACATGGTGTCCTATTACCCTGTGATCCTGGACCCAAACACTGCCTACCCTGGACTTGTGGTGTCTGAAGATCTGACCACGGCGAGCGAGTCAGATTGTCAATATCTTCCTGATAATCCAGAGAGGTTTGGAGAACAATGGTCTGTCCTGGGCTCTGAGGGCTTTGACTCAGGGACGCACTGCTGGGATTCGACGTCGCAGAGAGTGATGGATGTTGGTGTGATGGCACAGTCTGGTCAGAGGAAGGGAGATACAAAGTCTGGATTATGGATCATAAATCTCCATTATGGCGAATACGCAGCGGGGTCACCACCAGGTCCAGAAACCCCTCTCCCATTAGAGAAGGAGCTCCAGAGGGTCAGAGGGAATCTGGACTGGGACGGAGGAACGCTGTCGTTCTCTGATCCTGAGACTAACACACACATACACACCTTCACACACACTTTCACTGAGAGGCTGTTTCCATACATTTACACGGGGAATGGACTCCCAGTGACGAGCTCACCAGCGAAGGTCTCTGTGGCGGTACAACAACAGGACTAGAAGATGATGACACAATTATCAAGTATGTTTCAAGACGTACTTCATTCTCTGTGTCTTTGAGGAACTTTATTCACTTCTGGAGCAGACACTAGTTAGCTACTAGTTAGCCAGCATTGCTAATCAAGGCAAACAAACGTAGTGAATGCAGTGACTCTCTACTACAGCTAGCTTAACTTCCAAATCAGAGAATAATTAGCAAGGAGCTAACGGCATTCTGCAAGATAACAACGACCAGCCTGCTTAACCAAGCACCAGCGTTGGGGAAGTTACTTTTAAAAAGTAGTGTTTGCTCGTTACTTCCTTAAAAAAGTAATCCCTTACTTTACTTAGTTACCCTCCAACGTTACTCGTTACTTTTACGTTACTTTTATGTTACTTGACTTTGGGCAGAACCCCATCTCTGTTCCTAAATGTGTAGGCTTACATAAAGTTCTACTATGGAGGACATAACAGCTATGTCTTTTGTGCTCTTTATTATAAAAAAAATGCCACAGAGCACTTAACAAAACATTGGGCTATAGGCGTCAACACCACCACTAAACAATAATATCAAACAATATCAATATCAAATCATAATCATTAAGGGTTACAGGCTAGCCCCAAAATAGGTGCAAAGCTAGTGCAAATAATATCAATAGGCTACTAAATAGGCTTGGGCTCGAAATATCATCATTTCCCCGGGGATCTTGAGCTACTAGCTTCCTGCTAGCATGTTTTCCTTTCAAATGCTTGGTGAGGTTGGCAGTGGAGTTAACGGCAGTGGACACAAGTTTCTGGCCAGGGCACAACGTACACTCACATTTCCCCCCTTAGTTTCAACAAGTTTGAAGTAATGGGAATACCTCCATCCCTCGAATGCTAGCGTTGGCTGCGCCTGCTTCTCGCTTGCCATCACTGCTCTTCAGTCTTCATGCCACCACCCGCGGCCAGCCTCTATCACGTACAGTGTGGAATGAGAGCTCGTGCCTAATGCGTAAGCACACAGCTGAGTAGGCAGTGTCACTGCCACTCGTCCCTGGGAAAAGTAACGTTGCGGCGAATTGAAGAAGAAACTACGTTACCAAATGTTCCGTAGTAGCACGTTACACTACTTTTTACCCGGCAAAAGTAGTTACGTTACTGTAACGCGTTACTTTACCCAACACTGCCAAGCACACATCCAACTGTGGGTGTTTCTCAATCTCGAGTAAAGCTGCTCCAGAGCCACTATTTCAAGCATTCTACGTCATCGAGTGCCACCGAAGGACTGTTCCAATGTCCAGCATACTTGGAAGTCTACCGAGCCCGGCGTACTTCGTTTGGAGACATTTCGAGGCTGCACATGTGTAGACTCCGCGGTCTTAAAATCCTCACAATGCTTTGCGCACGGACCGATTTCCCCAAATCTGTGGCGGAAAATGTAAGGCGGGGCCTCTCATATAACGCACACCTGCACACTTGCTCGCCTGTTCCACTCTTCGTTTTCCGAATGCCGGAAGTATTCTTGCCTCGCTTCTGAAGCAAGACGCTCGGAAGACATGTGCTACCAGGCAAGCGTACTCGAGATTGAGAAACACCCTGTGACTCTGCTTTTCTTCATTGAGGCTAAGCTAATGCTAAGTAGCCTTTCCATTCATGGACTGAACTTCCACTACATTGTAAACTAACTTTGCACGGCTAAGCTAGCATCTAACTGCTATACTGTTGTAAATGTTTCTACGTGTGTTGATTTGTTTTTTTGAGAAACTGAGCTTTAGTGTGTGATCTATAGAGTGGTGCAGTGCTGACACGTTTAGCAGAAGTTAGCATCGTCTCTTGACAAAACGCTATGGGACTTTCATGTTGGATTTCGGTATATTTCAAACGTTTATGATGCTTACACATTTTCTTTAGCAAGATGTGTTTTTGGTGGCTGTCTTTTATCGTAGTGGCCATACGGTGGTACTGCACTTGTGTTATGTTCCGGGACGTTTTATGACTTTTTCCCATTGACTTACATTGGGGAAAGAAATGTATGTAAATCAGTGTATCATTTGTTTTCAGCTAAATAAACTACCCATTACAAAAAAAGTCTACAGCCTTTATTCAGAATCGCTTTGGGTGCAGTGCGCTTTGTTGTAATTACATTTGTTCCCAGCCTTTTTTCCTCAAGGGCCCGCATTTTTTTAATTGAGCAATTGACGACACACAATGAGTGTTAAGTTGCGTATTTCTTGTATATTTCTTTTTGAATCCGTAATGCATAAACATAGATGTACAACCCAAATATAGTGAGCCTAACGGCCCGTCTACACTACAGGCATCGAAAAAGCTTGAAGCTGGGCGTGTCTGAAGCTTGGCGATTTTTTGCGAGCAACGCGACTAACAACCAATCACATGAATCTCCCGCCCCCGACATACAAAGCAATAGCAATGTTAAAACGAAGTAAACTGGATATAAAATCCCCAAACAGGCGAAAACCTACCAGTTTCCCCCACTGTCTCTGCCACCTCCCTCCATGCCTGGTTCCTCCGGTTTGTATCCCGGTAAATAGTTCTGGTCGGAAAGAACCGGGTGATTTGCTACCGTAATTTCTCGTTTGGAATATGAGGAAATGAACTGCGGTCTGGCTCTTCCAGCTTGCACGCGGTTTGATTGGCTAGCGCTTGTACTGGCGGGAATTGCAAAAACGGGATTTGATTGGCTGACGCCAGCTTCGAGCAAGCATCGAGCCTCAAAAGTTGAACATTGTTCAACTTTTGACACCGATAGACGCTCGCGATGCTTGCAACGCCTTGCCATGCTACCCACAATGCAGTTCGGCGAAGTTTGAAAATATCCTACGTCACCCCATTCAAATGAATGGGCGAAGCGTTGAAAGCATTTTTTGACGCCTGTAGTGTAGACGGGCCGTAAGTTATGCAGGAAGTTGGTATAAAATAAGCGATTTAGATAAACGGTTGTTATTTCCTCCGAACAGAAAGTATTAACACATATTTTGACCTGTGCAGCCGGCATTAAGGATAAAATATAACACACACACACACACACACACACACACACAAACCATGTATACATCACTTCAGGGGACATTACATTGACTTACATGCATTTCCTGGAGACTTATCCTAACCATAACCATAACCAAGTCTTCACCCTAAAATGAATGATTCCTCCAATTTGTCCCCATAAGGGAGGCGAGTCCCCACACGTGACTTTGTAAACAGATTTAGGTCCCCACAAGTATAGTAATGCTAGGCTACACACACACACACACACACACACACACACACACACACACCACCTTCTCTGAATAAAGCCTGCAGGAATGATCGGCAGGATTTTATGTATTTCCTTTTTATCTGTAGGATTACACACTGCCGTCCTGTAAATATTTATAGGCTTTTATCTGCCAGGGTGCGGATTATCGGCTTTGGGAAGGTACAGTAGCGCACACACACACACACACACACACACGCACACGCACACGCACACGCACACGCACACGTATACATCACTTCAGGGGACATTACATTGACTTACATGCATTTCCTGGAGACTTATCCTAACCTTAACCATAACCAACACATGCGTTACCCTAACCCTTACCCTTAACCTAACAAAGTCTTCACCCTAAAATGAATGCTTCCCCTCATGGGGACCTCCATTTTGTCCCCATAAGGGCGGCGAGTCCCCACACGTGATTGTGTAAACAGATTTAGGTCCCCACAAGTATAGTAATGCTAGGCCACACACACACACACACACACACACACACACACACACACACACACACACACACACACACACACGCCTCTCAGCTCTAAAATCTCTGGCAGCCTCCATCTGCCCTCCTCCCCAACGACACATTGCCAACACTGGCATAGTGTATGTTTACACGTGTGTGTGTGTGTGTGTGTGTGTGTGTGTGTTGCAGGGTGTTTGACTGCCAGCGGGTCCCCTCCTCCAGTCCTGTGAAGCGGCGCCGGCCTTCATCTTCCTCCTCCTCCTCTTCTTCCTCAGCAGCTCTGAGGATGAAGAGCACCAGAGCCTCCTCTTCCTCTCACAGAAAACGTAAGCAGTGGAAAGTAAATATACGTGGAAGTACTTTACTCATGTATAATTATAAGCTATTTGTAAGACAAGGCAGGTTTATTTATATACACTGAACAAAAATATAAACGCAACACTTTTGTTTTTGCTCCCATGTTTCATGAGATGAACTCAAAGATCTAAAACATTTTCTATAAACACAAAATAACCATTTCTCTCAAATATTGTTCACAAATCTGAAAGAATCTGTGATAGTGAGCACTTCTCCTTTGCCGAGATAATCCATCCCACCTCACAGGTGTGGCATATCAAGATGCTGATTAGACAGCATGATTATTGCACAGGTGTGCCTTAGGCTGGCCACAATAAAAGGCCACTCTGAAACGTGCAGTTTTGCTTTATTGGGGGGGTCTGGGGGGGTCCGAAAACCAGTCAGTATCTGGTGTGAGGGGTAGGGTTAGGGTTAGGGTAATGTTGTGAATCGAGTGGCCTGTGTTCGTCGTCCATAACATACGCCTGCCCATACCATAACCCCACCACCACCATGGGCCACTCGATTCACAACATTACCCTAACCCTAACCCTACCCCTAACCCTACCCCTAACCCTACCCCTCACACCAGATATTGACTGGTTTTCGGACCCCCCCCAGACCCCCCCAATAAAGCAAAACTGCACGTTTCAGAGTGGCCTTTTATTGTGGCCAGCCTAAGGCACACCTGTGCAATAATCATGCTGTCTAATCAGCATCTTGATATGCCACACCTGTGAGGTGGGATGGATTATCTCGGCAAAGGAGAAGTGCTCACTATCACAGATTCTTTCAGATTTGTAAACAATATTTGAGAGAAATGGTTATTTTGTGTTTATAGAAAATGTTTTAGATCTTTGAGTTCATCTCATGAAACATGGGAGCAAAAACAAAAGTGTTGCATTTATATTTTTGTTCAGTGTAGTTGCTCCATCGCTTCTCTTGGACTTAAAATCTCACTGTACATTTATATATTCAGTTTAATACTTCATATTCCATCCCTCACATACTCATGTATAATAACTTGCTTTATATTTTGTTATTGTTAATTTGTAAATTCAACATGTATATTTCTACTTTATTTCTAGTCTTTTAATTGTTATTGTACAAAGCCATGTCTTAATGCTGCTGCAACGCAAACATTCCCCAACTTGGGATCAATAAAGTATTTCTTATCTTATCTCTTTTCAACACAAGGCAAGTCAAAGTGCAGTAAGAGCATAAAACACGTTATAAACATTAAAAAGCAAAGATAATAATAAAACATGAATAACAGTTACAGACTAGTGTGAGATGTGAATAGTTCAATTAAAGGCAGCGTCAAAAAGGAAAGTCTTCAGCCTGGATCTTAAAGCAGTCAGAGTTGCAGCGGACCTGCAGGTTTCTGGGAGTTAGTTCCAGATGTTTGGAAACACCCCGAACCAGATTATCTCATTCCTCTACCCCTAGTCCTCCCGTGGAATTATAGTTCTTTTGACACTTTTATAAAATCTACTTTACTTGTGTATTTTCATTGCATGCTACTTCCTACTTCCACTCCTCGACATCTCTGAGGGAATATCATTTATATTATCTGCTGTATTTTATGCAGGCTTCTTATTTAATACTAAAGGTCACCTATCATGCTATTTCTAGGCAACAGCACAGGTCTCAGATAAATACAAATATATTAAAAACATGTCTATGAAGTGTTTTGCTCAAAATACCAAACAGATCATTCTAGCCATGCCTCATATCCCTCTATTTCACTTCCTGTTTCTAAAGTGCTGATTTAAAAGCTTTAAAAAATAAAAAAGGAGGGGGCGGAGCTTATGCGGGACCCGGCAGCTACTGTCTAAACTAAATGCTGCCGTGATGAAACGGCATATCATGGATTATCAAGGGTTCTCTCTGAAACAGTCTGGAGCTCAAAGGCTTTCTCTCTTGCCGGTTATACCACAAGGTGAGTTCCTTTTTACTTCCTGCTTCTTCACACACATGCTCTCCAGTACAGGTTAGCTCTGAGAGTTAGCGATGCTAATGTAAACACCGACCATATTAAGTCCAAAACAGTCGGGCATTGTTTCTGATAACAACGTTTCTGATTGGGCCGTGGGTCCACATTTCAGATATTACATCATATCGGACGCAAATCTGGATCAGCTCCGTTGTTCCCCGTTTTTAGAGATTTGGGTACGGAGGAAAAGAGAGAGGGTTTTATTTGCTGACGCTGCGTGAGTTCCCCGACACACGGGACACATGGTGATGTAGAAGAGACATCACAAAGTGCATTTTGCATGATAGGTCCCCTTTAAGCACATTTTGGCTCTTTTACTTTTGTTTTATTCTGTTCCTTCCTCAAGTTGTTAAGTGGAACGTGATACCATTTGTTTGTCTACCTGGATCTTCTGCATCCAGGGCGCCCCAAGAGTCCTTTAACCCCGCTTACTATAGTTGACTTTTATAAACGGAGATACTCTTTATTCTAGGGTCATTCAAGTTTTTCCCAATCTTAGTCAATAGAAAACAGTATGTGTTGGCCTGATGGCGTCACGTGGAGGATCTGGAAGTTGTAACTCCACCGTTTGGCCACTAGGGGAAATTGGTTTCAAGGCCCAGCGCTCTTTCTGGGAGCTTGGCTTGTGGTGGATATCTGGCTAATGAGGATTTTCACTTACAAACTACTGGTATGCAGTGTTATAACTACACCAGGGTTTCCGTTAGCCGGTAATTACCGGTTTTTAGCTGGTAAAATTTAATAAAAACCGGTAAATTAAAAACCTGCCGGTCAAAATGTCCGATGCTCCTATCGATTGCCCGCCGGTCATTATCGGCCAATATTCACTCTTAATAGTTTGATCGGTGCTCTCTATAAAGGCCGATCAGGAGAGCTGGATCTGATCGATATGGACATAAACGCGAGTGAAGTGTAACCGGACGTGAGAGAGAGATCAGATCAGCTGCTGCATAATCACCTGAAGCCCCGCCTCTGTTTAGTGAGCTGCATGAGAAACTGACGGGCTGTCAGGAGAGAGGGGAAAAGAGAGGATCCGTTTCTCCCGTGTTATTCTTCTTAAATTGATGTAAACTTTTGAATAATGTACTTCATCTACTACAAGTAGTTTCTTTGAATGTAATAATGATGTTGTTTGTTGTTTGTGGAATCATTTATTGAAAAATGAATCTGAATTTTTCCGATCTGTTACGATTATAAACTGAAGCAATATAAAAATTACTCCCATTAACTGAGTTTTAAACCTCAGCATATCCGGTCATAGTCCGGTAATTACCTGCTAACGGAAACTCTGCTACACAACTCTTATTATTATTATTGAAACATGACCGGTAAGTTTCAAATTTGTCCGGTAAAATAAATTCTGTTCGGACGTTTGACCGGCGAGAAAAAATCCTAGCGGAAACCCTGAACTACACCTGTTAACGTTGGCTTAGTTCAGCGACTACAGTGGTGCAAAAAGGAAGAAGGTACTATCCACAACTTCTGCTAATGGGAAATCTAAAAAGACCGAGTCCATGAACCAGGCAGGGGGAATGCATGCATGCTTCATAATTAATATTAAGCTATTTTTAACTCTTTTCTTTTGCTGTAACAATGCACATTTCCCCTCTGTGGGACTGCTGTTTTCTCCAGTCTCTCTCGGTGGTCTCCAGATGGTCTCTTCATTAAAAGCTTCTGTACCGCGGGGCTCTTTTCTCTCTTAAAACCCATCAGCGCTTGCAATTAGACCGAGTTAATAGTGCGTGGCAAATCAGAACTGTTTATACTAGTTTATTACAAGCCTTAATAGTTTTTACTTCGCCCCATCACGAGGAAATTAGATTGCCTTTGCATGCTCCCGAGGTCGAAGCGCTCTCGGGAGTGAAGTCATTTTCAGGGTCGTTTGGCGAGGGTGGAGGAACCAAAACCAAATTCTGATCCATTTTCACGAGTGTTTCAACGAGGGGGAAATCCTCTAACACCTAACGCGGTAAAGGTCTCCTATTATACTATTTTTAGGCATGTTTTATAGGTCTCAGTTTTTAGAGATTTGGGTAGGGAGGAAAAGAGAGAGGGTTTTATTTTCCGACACTTTGAGAGTCTCCTGACGGACCGGGGACACATGGTGATGTATAAAAGACATCAAAAAGTGCATTTTGCATGATAGGAGACCTTTAAAACATGTGTCTGTGTTTCAGTAGGACGTCTTTTCCCTGCACGGCATGTAGTATATGAATGTCTTATATCTTGTATTGAGTGGAGTCTAGTAAACCTGAGAATCTGGCTCTGTCCTCTTGGTGGTCTTCACTTAACCTCTGCGTGAGTTCCAAGAACTGCAAGAACAGGATGGCGCCAAAACCAGTGAGCAACATAGTATGATTATATAACCTGAATAAAAAGTCCAAAATCAGGGTCAATAAGGGAATGAGGGAAGGTTATGTAATATTCGGGCCTGCATGGAGATTGCGTTGGATGACGGTGGTTTTCTTACAATGAAACACCTGAAAACCAGGAGCCAGGACGTCGTTCAGTAGCACGTGATACCAAGTGGCTTCCAAGCTTTAAATATCCACAGACCTTTGTGCGGGATGTCTTGCACCTGTTAGTATTGGTTTAGTTCATTAGAACATTGTACAAGGTGGTGCAAAAAGGAAGAAGGTAGGCTGCCATCCAAAACTTCTGCTAATGGAAGAACAAAATGTACAAGTTGATATCAAGTTGATGAGCCATGCAGGGGGAATGCGGCATTACAGTTCGGTTCATGCTGTTTTCGAGAACAACTACGAAAAAGTGATGGTAAAATATATGCCGAACAACATATTTGGTCACCACACTCATACAGTATGTGATTATTGAACATTTTATCATGAAGGGCTTTCCACCACATGTTGGGGCGTGCATGGATTTGATCCTTTTCAGATGTCCACAAACCTCTGACCACACAGTGTGTCGGTCACTTACTCAACATCCTCCTGTCTCCTTAGCCGCTTTCACACCAAGTACTTTGCCGCACTTAGTACCCCAGGGGACTAAGTACCAATCGCGTTCACACCGGAGTACTTTTCCCTGAGGGAAGATTACGCAAATGAGCCGCTGACGTCACTTCTTCTGCTTTGGGTTTACTGGCAGGCCGCAAACCACTGAAACCGGCGTATACTGAATCAGAATCAGAATCCCTTTATTCGTCCCACAGAAGGGAAATTTACTGCCACCCGAAGTCCCCGGCCGGAAGTCCCCGGAGCTGGGGAAGGCTTCAGTAGAAGCTGCTGGGACTCCCAGCAGCTTCTACTGAAGCCTTCCCCAGCTCCGGGGACTTCCGAGTAAATCGCCAGAACGCCGACACCTCCTCATCTCCACCGCTCCCATGTTTTCTTTTGTGTTGCCATAAGTTATTCTCTCTCCGTTGGTGCGCGGGGCTAATGCTAATGCTAATAATGCTAATGCCAGCAAATCAAACGGGGCGTGGTTTGCAATTCGCCCAGCCAATAGAAATTGGTACTTTGGTACCACCTCTCTAGCAGGCACTAAAAATGGGGGTAAAAGTTCCCGGCACGAAGTACTCTTTTTGGTGTGAATGCGACATAAGGGGTACTAACGGAACTAAACGGGAAAAGTACTCCGGTGTGAACGCACCTTATGTGTCTCTGCAGTGAAGATGGCGGAGCTCCTGTCCATAAAGAGAGAGCTGACGGTGATCAAGGTTCAGATCGACGGCCTGTTGGACTGTGTGGACAAGATGGACCCTCGGAGGAAGGACTGCTCAGGTACAGACACAACATTATTGTCCCTCACGAGTGTTTACCTGCCTATTAGATACACCTGGACACAAACCAGCACCGACACTAAGGCTGTTTCTCAATTCACTTGTTTCTGTACTTATATCTGTTCAAAAGTGCGTCCAAATGCGATGATGCAAAATGCTCTATGAGTGCCGGATAGTTTGATTACCGTACTAATTTACTGGTGTCAAGAAGAAGCCGTTGTTTATTTGACAGGTTAATTGAGCGGCCTGTTTTACCAAAGACAGAGGCAACGATAGACCTTAATTCCCGTGTTCTGCAAGTCAAGATTTATGTCTTTTTCAATGGAGTCCGGATGCTTTGCAGAGAGCTTAGGTACCTGCGACAGTTCCCCCTCAGAAAAGGCTGTCTGACAGCAAGGTAAAGCTGTGAGATATCATAAATACAGAGTTCATTCAGGCCTTCGAACACCTGGGCTTTGGCCTTTCGTCCACACCTACATGTATAACAGCTTTTTAACTCACAGAAAGCATAGCTTTTGTAAAACTCTCGAGGCTCTATTTTCTGATGGAAAAACACATATAAACAGTTTTCTTTAAAATGTCAAATTCTGATGAATATGTTGCAGCCACAACAACACAAGTCTGTCATACCCCAGGTCCCAGTTTTATTACAATATCAGCTTCATCAAAATCAGTCGTTACCCCACATGGAGAGCGACTGCATTATTTACAAATGATGATGTGTGAGGGCACGGTGATGCAGAGAGGTGTGTGTGTGTGTGTGTGTGTGTGTGTGTGTGTGTGTGTGTGTGTGTGTGTGTGTGTGTGTGTGTGTGTGTGTGCGCGTGTGCGCGTGCGTGTGTGTTTACCATCAGATGCTATCCGCTATCAAACTGCATCTGTGAGTAATGGTTCAATGACAAAACCACCGGCAGCGGAGCGTGGATTATGACGGGGAGTAAACATCGATAAACACCGGCCTCATAACCTTTCATAAGCTCCCCTTCAGGAGTTATCTCTCTGTGTGTGTGTGTGTGTGTGTGTGTGTGTGTGTGTGTGTGTGTGTGTGTGTGTGTGTGTGTGTGTGTGTGTGTGTGTGTGTGTGTGTGTGTGTGTGTGTGTGGTGTGTGTGTGTGTGTGTGTGTGTGTGTGTGTGTGTGTGTGTGTGTGTGTGTGTGTGTGTGTGTGTGTGTGTGTGTGTGTGTGTGTGTGTGTGTGTGGTGTGTGTGTGTGTGTGTGTGTGTGTGTGTTGTGTTTTAGTTCCGTAAAGTATGTGTATTCACCGGTATTCACTCTCTCTACTTTGGAAGTGGAACATTTGCTTGCGAGGATACAAAAATAAGATGAGGAAATTATCCAAAGTGACAAGTTGACATGTTTTCACATCTTGGGGATGTTTTTTCCTTGACATTAATATTAGAAAACTTCTCTCAGGAAGAAAAACGATTTATTGGAATAATGAATGTGTGTGTGTGTGTGTGTGTGTGTGTGTGTGTGTGTGTGTGTGTGTGTGTGTGTGTGTGTGTGTGTGTGTGTGTGTGTGTGTGTGTGTGTGTGTGTGTGTGTGTGTGTGTGTGTGTGTGTGTGTGTGTGTGTGTGTGTGTGTGTGTGTGTGTGTGTGTGTGTGGAAGGAGGTGCTATGTGTTCCCCTGAGTGTTCTGTGCTGCTTAGCCCCGATATATTTGATTCCCTGTCTTATGTAATATAATTTGTGGAACCAAATAAAGTATTCAAATGTGTGTTCAGGTTCAGTCAGCAGTCTGGAGAGAGAGAGTCCCGAACCAGGAGAGGCGAGCGAGGAAGAGACGCTTCACTACTGCCCCCCCAGGGTAAATATATATAATAAATACCTTCCAACATGGTGAATATATATAAACCCCTCTACAATGCAAAAACTGAACCGTTGACTTTCATTAAATGTATTATGTTAACAGATTTCACACACCTGTATTAGGTTAGTTGAAAGCAAGAATTAGGTTCAACTTCATATCATTGCTTTCAACTAACCTCATACAGTTAATTACATTTTGTTAACATAATACATTTAATTAAAGTCAACGGTTCAGTTTGTCTGCGTACATTGAGCTCCACTGTCTGTAGCAATGTAACGCTGCCATCTTGTGGATTCTTCATCATTAACACACACTCCTGTCGGCTGGAAGCATCTCCGCGATTGTTTTTTATAAGGAAGTGCTAAAATGCCCACTCATTTCAAGGCTCATCCCTGCACCTCCCTCTAACGTTGACTTTCATTAAATGTTTTATGTAAATACAATTTCCAATAATTGTATTAGTTGAAAGCACCTAATTATTTTTCAATTATACTTAATTTTTATTGCTTTCAACTTAATATATTTAGTCAACGTCAATGTCAGTGTATTTTGTACTTTTTACCTCACTAACATTTAAGATTAAACATTTAAACATTGGCTTTTATAACAATATTTTCATTCAACACAACACCAGTGGATTTCAACCTTTTTGGCTTCTGACGTTTTTGTAAAAAGTAGTTTAGACCAAGTTATTAAATACAGTTTTCACTCTAATATTCACCTGATTTCATGTCAATAATCATCCAATATCCAATTTGTTCACGTAACATGTGTGTCAGAACATAATATGTTTACCAAAATCCAAACATCATAAAAACAAATATTAAAGCTAGAAGAAGTTTACTTTTGCTGGAAAAACAAAGCCTTTAATGATTAAATTACCAACATCGTGGTTACTGGTTAATTGTCTCTCAATTGAATTGCTTTAGCTCGAGGCAAAACAAAAACAATTAAAAATAGACCTAATTAAATGACTACTGGGAGATAAGAATAAGGTTTTGTTTTTCCTCACTCAGTGAAATGTTTGCAGGATGAAGCCAACTATTTTGTTAACGTTATACAGTATGAAAAATCTGAATCTGAAAAGACTAGTAGTGCTTTTTAACCCTTAAATGGGCAATCACACATATTTTGGAAGATTTAATGAGATTAATTACACTCTTATTACAGCCATATTACACATTAATACACCCCTATTGCACCATCTGTGCACAAACTGATCTCGTGCCCTCATTGGTCATGTGCGCGTTCGTGTGTTGGAGGAGGGGCTCTGTGAGGAAGTGGCAGATTTGTTCCGGCTGTGTATTTTCACATTCTAGCCACTCGAGCTGGTTTCTCCAAAATTACCTACCCCACCTTTAAATGCAGGTATTAAGTTACATGTTCACGTTCTGCTGCCAGTCGGTTTCTCCAGTGTAATGATAATAAAATGCTTAGTAAGTATTGGCAATATTAATAAAAACAACAACGTTTGGGTTCGTTCGTTTAATATGATGAATGTTAACCAGTAAGCTTCAATAATCAACCATCATTACGCCCATACATCGGTATTACTGCTATTAGACCCGAATATGAGATAGTAATTACACTGTTAATACATCCTTATTAAACTCATGTAATTCGAATATTACACCCATATTCATTTCATTTCATTTCAAACCTTTATTTAACCAGATTGGTCCCATTGAGGTCATAGATCTCTTTTTCAAGGGAGACCTGCAGCATATAGGTTCCACATGAAACATGAAACAATAAAGGACATCATACATTATATTTACAGGATACATTTACATAGTTATCGACATTTACAAGTGCCCATAGTATCAACGAGCATTTCCTTTAGCCTAGCTTTAAAAACATGCAGAGGAATGAGATTGCTCGGTTTCAATTCTTATTACACCATCATTAAACCTGTATCGCACCCATATTATACCCATGTTCCACATCGACACAGCGTATCAAATGACTCTTCCCTAGGATACAGAAACCATTTAAGGGTTAATAAAAACAAAAAAAGACAATGTGAAATAAGGGGATAATCTGAGGCAAGTAACTCTTTTACCCGTCTTTAAAGTTACGGTGCATTAATTTGCACAAAACAGTAAAAGTCTCCACACTATACTCCGAAGACAATTTGCATAATGTGTTGTGTTTACTGTCTTCTGATTGAGCTCCTCCTTGGTGTAAAGCAGAGGAGCCGCGGTGCTTTCAGTGTTTCCGTTTCTTTACAGGGAAACTTAATGATATATAATCAGCTGCAGGCTTACCTGACGGAGCGGAGCCTCATTTAGCCGAGCGGAGGCAGAGAGCAGACCTTTAATCTGCAGCATTGTTCCTCCGACAGGAAGAAACAGAGAGTAGTAATTAACATAATGTGTGTGTGTGTGTGTGTGTGTGTGTGTGTGTGTGTGTGTGTGTGTGTGTGTGTGTGTGTGTGTGTGTGTGTGTGTGTGTGTGTGTGTGTGTGCAACAAAGTGTGTTAACAGAAAATCTTTTGTGGACTCAAAAATATATGTGTGTGCTTCTGCAATGATGATGATGATGTTGAAGAAAAGGGGAAAAGGCGTATAATGAAGGCTAATAAAGAGGCAGGAATGAGTTCTAAAACACAAAAAATAGTCAGCATTTTAACACTTCCTGCCCCATTTTCAAAGGTTTTTTTAATGTGTTTTTGGTTGTTAGCCTGAAATAAGGTCTGTGGATAACACAAGCTGAAGGGATTTTTATTCTACGAAATAAATACGTCAGTAAATACCCCACTAGTGAATTTAAAAACGGTGGTTGCTAACAAGTGTCTAAATGAGACGACTAAACGTCTTCACGCCGATCATTAGCCGCCTTTAGCTTAGTGGTGGTGACGTGAAGTCATGTGACCGTGCTTTAGTTCCTTTATAGCCCAACATTAGCCTCCTTTAGCTTAGCGGTGGCGACGTGAAGTCATGTGACCGTGCCGTAGTTCCTTTATAGTCCAACATTAGCCTCCTTTAGCTTAGCGGAGGTGACGTGAAGTCATGTGACCGTGCTGTAGTTCCTTTATAGCCCAACATTAGCCTCCTTTAGCTTAGCGGTGGTGACGTGAAGTCATGTGACCGTGCCGTAGTTCCTTTATAGTCCAACATTAGCCTCCTTTAGCTTAGCGGTGGTGACGTGAAGTCATGTGACCGTGCTGTAGTTCCTTTATAGCCCAACATTATCCTCCTTTAGCTTAGCGGTGGTGACGTGAAGTCATGTGACCGTGCTGTCGTTCCTTTATAGCCCAACATTAGCCTCCTTTAGCTTAGCGGTGGTGATGTGAAGATATGTGACCGTGCTGTAGTTCCTTTATAGCCCAACATTAGCCTCCTTTAGCTTAGCGGTGGTGACGTGAAGTCATGTGACCGTGCTGTAGTTCCTTTATAGCCCAACATTAGCCTCCTTTAGCTTAGCGGTGGTGACGTGAAGTCATGTGACCGTGCTGTCGTTCCTTTATAGCCCAACATTAGCCTCCTTTAGCTTAGCGGTGGTGACGTGAAGTCATGTGACCGTGCTTTAGTTCTTTTATAGCCCAACATTAGCCTCCTTTAGCTTAGCGGTGGTGATGTGAAGATATGTGACCGTGCTGTAGTTCCTTTATAGCCCAACATTAGCCTCCTTTAGCTTAGCGGTGGTGACGTGAAGTCATGTGACCGTGCCGTAGTTCCTTTATAGTCCAACATTAGCCTCCTTTAGCTTAGCGGTGGTGACGTGAAGTCATGTGACCGTGCCGTAGTTCCTTTATAGTCCAACATTAGCCTCCTTTAGCTTAGCGGTGGTGACGTGAAGTAATGTGACCGTGCTGTCGTTCCTTTATAGCCCAACATTAGCCTCCTTTAGCTTAGCGGTGGTGACGTGAAGTCATGTGACCGTGCTGTAGTTCCTTTATAGCCCAACATTAGCCTCCTTTAGCTTAGCGGTGGTGATGTGAAGATATGTGACCGTGCTGTAGTTCCTTTATAGCCCAACATTAGCCTCCTTTAGCTTAGCGGTGGTGACGTGAAGTCATGTGACCGTGCCGTAGTTCCTTTATAGTCCAACATTAGCCTCCTTTAGCTTAGCGGTGGTGACGTGAAGTCATGTGACCGTGCTGTCGTTCCTTTATAGCCCAACATTAGCCTCCTTTAGCTTAGCGGTGGTGACGTGAAGTCATGTGACCGTGCTTTAGTTCTTTTATAGCCCAACATTAGCCTCCTTTAGCTTAGCGGTGGTGATGTGAAGATATGTGACCGTGCTGTAGTTCCTTTATAGCCCAACATTAGCCTCCTTTAGCTTAGCGGTGGTGACGTGAAGTCATGTGACCGTGCCGTAGTTCCTTTATAGTCCAACATTAGCCTCCTTTAGCTTAGCGGTGGTGACGTGAAGTCATGTGACCGTGCTTTAGTTCTTTTATAGCCCAACATTAGCCTCCTTTAGCTTAGCGGTGGTGACGTGAAGTTATGTGACCGTGCTGTAGTTCCTTTATAGCCCAACATTAGCCTCCTTTAGCTTAGCGGTGGTGACGTGAAGTCATGTGACCGTGCCGTAGTTCCTTTATAGTCCAACATTAGCCTCCTTTAGCTTAGCGGTGGTGACGTGAAGTCATGTGACCGTGCCGTAGTTCCTTTATAGTCCAACATTAGCCTCCTTTAGCTTAGCGGTGGTGACGTGAAGTAATGTGACCGTGCTGTCGTTCCTTTATAGCCCAACATTAGCCTCCTTTAGCTTAGCGGTGGTGACGTGAAGTCATGTGACCGTGCTGTAGTTCCTTTATAGCCCAACATTAGCCTCCTTTAGCTTAGCGGTGGTGATGTGAAGATATGTGACCGTGCTGTAGTTCCTTTATAGCCCAACATTAGCCTCCTTTAGCTTAGCGGTGGTGACGTGAAATCATGTGACCGTGCCGTAGTTCCTTTATAGTCCAACATTAGCCTCCTTTAGCTTAGCGGTGGTGACGTGAAGTCATGTGACCGTGCTGTCGTTCCTTTATAGCCCAACATTAGCCTCCTTTAGCTTAGCGGTGGTGACGTGAAGTCATGTGACCGTGCTTTAGTTCTTTTATAGCCCAACATTAGCCTCCTTTAGCTTAGCGGTGGTGATGTGAAGATATGTGACCGTGCTGTAGTTCCTTTATAGCCCAACATTAGCCTCCTTTAGCTTAGCGGTGGTGACGTGAAGTCATGTGACCGTGCCGTAGTTCCTTTATAGTCCAACATTAGCCTCCTTTAGCTTAGCGGTGGTGACGTGAAGTCATGTGACCGTGCCGTAGTTCCTTTATAGTCCAACATTAGCCTCCTTTAGCTTAGCGGTGGTGACGTGAAGTAATGTGACCGTGCTGTCGTTCCTTTATAGCCCAACATTAGCCTCCTTTAGCTTAGCGGAGGTGACGTGAAGTCATGTGACCGTGCTGTAGTTCCTTTATAGCCCAACATTAGCCTCCTTTAGCTTAGCGGTGGTGACGTGAAGTCATGTGACCGTGCCGTAGTTCCTTTATAGTCCAACATTAGCCTCCTTTAGCTTAGCGGTGGTGACGTGAAGTCATGTGACCGTGCTGTAGTTCCTTTATAGCCCAACATTAGCCTCCTTTAGCTTAGCGGTGGTGACGTGAAGTCATGTGACCGTGCTGTCGTTCCTTTATAGCCCAACATTAGCCTCCTTTAGCTTAGCGGTGGTGATGTGAAGATATGTGACCGTGCTGTAGTTCCTTTATAGCCCAACATTAGCCTCCTTTAGCTTAGCGGTGGTGACGTGAAGTCATGTGACCGTGCCGTAGTTCCTTTATAGTCCAACATTAGCCTCCTTTAGCTTAGCGGTGGTGACGTGAAGTCATGTGACCGTGCTGTAGTTCCTTTATAGCCCAACATTAGCCTCCTTTAGCTTAGCGGTGGTGACGTGAAGTCATGTGACCGTGCTTTAGTTCTTTTATAGCCCAACATTAGCCTCCTTTAGCTTAGCGGTGGTGATGTGAAGAGATGTGACCGTGCTGTAGTTCCTTTATAGCCCAACATTAGCCTCCTTTAGCTTAGCGGTGGTGACGTGAAGTCATGTGACCGTGCCGTAGTTCCTTTATAGTCCAACATTAGCCTCCTTTAGCTTAGCGGTGGTGACGTGAAGTCATGTGACCGTGCCGTAGTTCCTTTATAGTCCAACATTAGCCTCCTTTAGCTTAGCGGTGGTGACGTGAAGTAATGTGACCGTGCTGTCGTTCCTTTATAGCCCAACATTAGCCTCCTTTAGCTTAGCGGTGGTGACGTGAAGTCATGTGACCGTGCTGTAGTTCCTTTATAGCCCAACATTAGCCTCCTTTAGCTTAGCGGTGGTGATGTGAAGATATGTGACCGTGCTGTAGTTCCTTTATAGCCCAACATTAGCCTCCTTTAGCTTAGCGGTGGTGACGTGAAGTCATGTGACCGTGCTGTAGTTCCTTTATAGTCCAACATTAGCCTCCTTTAGCTTAGCGGTGGTGACGTGAAGTCATGTGACCGTGCTGTCGTTCCTTTATAGCCCAACATTAGCCTCCTTTAGCTTAGCGGTGGTGACGTGAAGTCATGTGACCGTGCTTTAGTTCTTTTATAGCCCAACATTAGCCTCCTTTAGCTTAGCGGTGGTGATGTGAAGATATGTGACCGTGCTGTAGTTCCTTTATAGCCCAACATTAGCCTCCTTTAGCTTAGCGGTGGTGACGTGAAGTCATGTGACCGTGCCGTAGTTCCTTTATAGTCCAACATTAGCCTCCTTTAGCTTAGCGGTGGTGACGTGAAGTCATGTGACCGTGCTTTAGTTCTTTTATAGCCCAACATTAGCCTCCTTTAGCTTAGCGGTGGTGATGTGAAGATATGTGACCGTGCTGTAGTTCCTTTATAGCCCAACATTAGCCTCCTTTAGCTTAGCGGTGGTGACGTGAAGTCATGTGACCGTGCCGTAGTTCCTTTATAGTCCAACATTAGCCTCCTTTAGCTTAGCGGTGGTGACGTGAAGTCATGTGACCGTGCCGTAGTTCCTTTATAGTCCAACATTAGCCTCCTTTAGCTTAGCGGTGGTGACGTGAAGTCATGTGACCGTGCTGTCGTTCCTTTATAGCCCAACATTAGCCTCCTTTAGCTTAGCGGTGGTGACGTGAAGTCATGTGACCGTGCCGTAGTTCCTTTATAGTCCAACATTAGCCTCCTTTAGCTTAGCGGTGGTGACGTGAAGTCATGTGACCGTGCCGTAGTTCCTTTATAGTCCAACATTAGCCTCCTTTAGCTTAGCGGTGGTGACGTGAAGTAATGTGACCGTGCTGTCGTTCCTTTATAGCCCAACATTAGCCTCCTTTAGCTTAGCGGTGGTGACGTGAAGTCATGTGACCGTGCTGTAGTTCCTTTATAGCCCAACATTAGCCTCCTTTAGCTTAGCGGTGGTGATGTGAAGATATGTGACCGTGCTGTAGTTCCTTTATAGCCCAACATTAGCCTCCTTTAGCTTAGCGGTGGTGACGTGAAGTCATGTGACCGTGCCGTAGTTCCTTTATAGTCCAACATTAGCCTCCTTTAGCTTAGCGGTGGTGACGTGAAGTCATGTGACCGTGCTGTCGTTCCTTTATAGCCCAACATTAGCCTCCTTTAGCTTAGCGGTGGTGACGTGAAGTCATGTGACCGTGCTTTAGTTCTTTTATAGCCCAACATTAGCCTCCTTTAGCTTAGCGGTGGTGATGTGAAGATATGTGACCGTGCTGTAGTTCCTTTATAGCCCAACATTAGCCTCCTTTAGCTTAGCGGTGGTGACGTGAAGTCATGTGACCGTGCCGTAGTTCCTTTATAGTCCAACATTAGCCTCCTTTAGCTTAGCGGTGGTGACGTGAAGTCATGTGACCGTGCCGTAGTTCCTTTATAGTCCAACATTAGCCTCCTTTAGCTTAGCGGTGGTGACGTGAAGTAATGTGACCGTGCTGTCGTTCCTTTATAGCCCAACATTAGCCTCCTTTAGCTTAGCGGTGGTGACGTGAAGTCATGTGACCGTGCTGTAGTTCCTTTATAGCCCAACATTAGCCTCCTTTAGCTTAGCGGTGGTGACGTGAAGTCATGTGACCGTGCCGTAATTCCTTTATAGTCCAACATTAGCCTCCTTTAGCTTAGCGGTGGTGACGTGAAGTAATGTGACCGTGCTGTCGTTCCTTTATAGCCCAACATTAGCCTCCTTAAGCTTAGCGGTGGTGACGTGAAGTCATGTGACCGTGCCGTAGTTCCTTTATAGTCCAACATTAGCCTCCTTTAGCTTAGCGGTGGTGACGTGAAGTAATGTGACCGTGCTGTCGTTCCTTTATAGCCCAACATTAGCCTCCTTAAGCTTAGCGGTGGTGACGTGAAGTCATGTGACCGTGCCGTAGTTCCTTTATAGCCCAACATTAGCCTCCTTTAGCTTAGCGGTGGTGACGTGAAGATATGTGACCATACTTTTCCACGATAAGGAAAAACATCAAGTTTAAAGAGTCAAGACATTTTTTTCCAACGCAACAAGACATAGCCTACATTTTAAATGTAATGAACATAAAAATTGCACGATTATCATACATGCTAATCTTATTTCAATAATTAGATTATTAAAGAAACAGCAGTGGTCCGTTAATCCCAGTTAAATCTACAAAATGAGTCTGAATGGCCTACATACTGTTTTTTTTAAATTGATTTATTGTGTCATTGTTTATTTAACTGTAGTCTATTCCTGCTGAAGTTATTGTCCTCAAAGCCTTTTTTGGTGGCATTTATTTTATCCTCAAGCATGTGCCAGAGTGTTTACACACCACACAACACTTTCCCTTATGCAGTGTTTAGAGGGTGTTCCCTATGCTAATAATAGATGCTAATTCAGGTCAAGTGAACTCGTCATTTAGCTCCCCTGGGTAGAGTAGATTTGGATCGTGAAGAACATTTGGTGCATCTGGAAAATTCTCTTATGTCTTTTCTTACCAGAAGTTTAAATTAGCATGAGGCCAAATGTCTTTCTAAAAGTTTCTTGCTCTGTGTTTCCAGATAAAGCAGTTTGAGTCTGATCTACAGGACGATCTGTGAAACTGCAGGTATCTATCACTGAGACACTTTGAAGGTGCCCTATTATGCACATTTCCAGATTTCATAATTGTATTTTTGTACATGATTACAATGCTTTAATGTTCAAAAAGTGCTTTATTTGTCTCATATTGACGTCTAATAAGTACAAATACTATGTTAACATGCCATTTCAACCAAGACCCATCAATATTCAATGTTCAGACTCATCTCTGGTTTTCTTTCCAGATCGTTCCAGAAAAAGAAATGGAAACTGGGATTGGTAACAGCTGGGATTGGATATTCCCAAAAGAGTTGTTGACAGGATCCTGAACTGTATTGGAGTGACTCTCCTCCACCTAAATCTGTCTCTTATCTGCCCATCACTCTCAGTTTGATTTCTCTTCTGCGGCACCACCTTCAGTTCTGGTTTCCAATCCACAATGACGACAAAATCCCCAATCTGTTCCTGGTACATCACTGTGCTCCATGCCTACATGCTATTATATTATTTATTATTCTGTAGGCATAGCCAGATAGACAAAACATACATTTTCTCTACCAACAGATTAAATTGGCCCCGTTTATTGCCCTTGCTCCGATGTTGGACTCCTATCTGATTAAAGTTAACCAAATCAGCGATAGAGCAGCTGGCAGCTCCTTATTACACCCTTTATTTTCATTAGGTGTGTTATAATAATGATGTGTAACCAGATGTGTACAGGAAGCCTCTGGGTGAATTATATTTGGGAAATCAGTGTTAAGTGATTGACAGACTGGTAATTTCCTGAAATGAAGATTAACTCTTGATTAAAACTGCATGTAGTGCATATAAACAACTGGGACATCATTTGGTTCAGGCTAGCTAACAGCTCAGAAGCAAAATGAGTTTGTTACATGTAAGCTAACAGTTTGTTTACGTTAGCTAACAGCTCTGTAGCTAAAAGAGTTTGCTACATGTAAGCTAACAGTTTGTTTACGTTAGCTAACAGCTTAGATGCTAAAATAATTTATACATGTTAGTTTACACCTGGTTTACATTAGCTAATAGCTTAGATGCTAAAATAGTTTCCACATGCAAGCTAGCAGTGGGTTCAGGTTAGAAAATACAGTAGCTGAAATAGTTTGCTACATGTGAGGTAGGAATTGTTTTGGTTTGCTAATGGTCTAGCAAAGAAAACTAATTTCTTAATGTTAGTTTAGCAGTTTTGCAACAACAAAGTTTGTAGAGGTTTGGTCGGTTTAGCAAATAAAATAGGAAATTGTCAAGAACACAGTTTAGTCAATCTTAGGGCCTGTTAAAGGATGTGTTTGGTTAAAGTAGCTGGTCCTGGTTTAATACATAAAACAATGTAAGAGTTCAGTGGCTAAAGCAGTACGCTAAATGTAAGCTAACGGAAGCGCTAACAGTTGGTTAGCTAACAACTATTTAAAAGAGGAAATCTTTGGGTTTAGCTTAGACTGTATATAAAGGTTTAGCTTCTTAAGGATCAGATTGGCAGGTTTCTTTTGTTCAGTTTAGCGGCTCAAACAACTAATTTAGTAATCTTTGAATCAATAAACTCCAAGAAGTGGTCAAAATGTGTCATCAGCCGACTAAATGGCTCATTCTCTGAATCGGGTGCCCTTTGTGTCCCCCAAGCTTACTTCAAAGATTTTAAATGAAAGGAAACTACACAATGTATGTTAAAGCATTGAATTAAAGGAACAGGGTTTTTTGCATTACAATGTAAAACGAAATATATATTTTTTGTTATTGTTTTATAATAATTAGTTGTCTTTGTAGTAGACAACACAAATTTGTGCATGTCCTCACTGAGCATCATCACATATTCATTGAATATTAAACAAATAACAATTGCCAATTATACCAACATTTTGATGCTAATATAATCATATGCGTGTGTACTTTAACTGAGAAAAAAAAAAACATGAATTATCTATGAAATTGCACTATTGACACTCGTCCCCCAGTTTGTTTCAAGCCCGTCACGCTATACATTTGACCCCCCTATTAAAATAATGGATCAGTCCATGTGACATCTGCTTTGAGGGAGTGACATCACAGAAGTCTATTGAGGAAAAGGTGGCAAAGAAAGGCAAGTGTCAGTATCTTCTCTTACCTATATTTTTTATTGTCAGATTGAGATTGTCATGGTCAACATTTCAACTCTGTTGTATGAATTACTTATGGTAAACAATTATTTAGGAAAATATTACAATTTTATGATGTCCTTAAATTCCATGTGGTGCTGTCTTAGCTAAACAAGGTCTCATGGCTACTTTTTACCAAAAACTTCAACCCGTCACATTTTTTCAAAGATATTCCTAGTAATTATTTATATTTTGTGCCTGAGGTGCGGAAATGTGTTTTCTCAAAGTGTTAAATAGTCCACTACCAGATGTTATGATCACAAATGCAAAAAATGTAGTTTCATTTTTCAAAAAGGTAAAGACCCAAAAGGCACCCGATTCAGAGAATCACCCAAATTCTAAAAGGGTCATAAGCCTTATCCATTTACGACATTAAAACTATGTGTTTACTGTGTAGTTTTCTTGTGGAGGTCCATTCAATGCTGAAGTCTAACTCTATAGCGTTAGGTTTGCAATAACTGGAATGGTGGATATACTATTTGTCTCTTACTTTTAATTGTAAATGCATATTTGAAAAATCCATAAAATGGCAAACTTTTGGCTTCAAAAAGGATGCCGTTTAATTTCATTTACGTCCATGAAACATTTAGAGCAGGGGGGTCAAACTCAAATACACAGTGGGCCAAAATAAAACAATGGGTGCTAGTCGAGGGCCGGACTGGTTCAATGTTTATTGCAAAACTTATTGAAATGAACTTATTGCACATATTCAACCTGGAACTAACAAAGCTTAAATGATTGCCTATAAAAACAACATTAAACATTAAATAATCAGTTGCATTCATTTCTTATGGCTCTATCTGCAGCTTCTCCAGAGTCATTTCTTATGAGTACATTTCTCCACAGGCCAACAACAGCTTCAACAAAACTATTTCCCTCACAGAGAAAACCAAACCTGCCCTGTTGTCCTGAGAGAAAGTGCAGAAGGAAGCATCCATTGAACTCAGTGTGCTGCTCTGTGATGCTAGTTCAGATACTTGGCATCTCATCTTGGGTGCAAGGTCATCAATGTTTGGGCTCAGGCTCTGAGCGGAGGAGACCCTCAGGATGGAGTGAAGGTGTGAGAGCAATATACCGGAGGGCCAGATCTAATAGCAATTAGAAATTATCCTGCGGGCCGAAATTAAACCACCACGGGCCTGATTTGGCCCCCGGGCCTCGAGTTTGACACATGTGACTTAGAGCTTCTGTATTGTATTGACAACTATTTACAAAATTGCCATGACATTTAGTTTAATCATTCAGTAAGAAAGTGAACGCTGTTGATACCTAAGGATATTGGTCAACAAATAAGGTTGCTATTTGTTGACCAATACCCTGTTTTTAGTCATATCTTCTGTGTCATACATTACTTACCATTTGATGACAGCTTGTTTGTTTCACCAGATTCATCAAGACTGGTTTTATGGAGGGCAAATCCACTGAACTGTTGTCCAGTCAAATGCATAAAGACTTTTTCTGCAGCCTTTTTACCCAGATGGAAAATATGGACGCCTGTAAATATGTTTAAAGCATTCATGTGAAATATTTGTTGGTTTAAAAAGAGTCTCTTGAAAACGATGTATGTGCACACTAGTGGCTCTTTATACTAACTTTTAGGTCTTCATAGGTTTCAATAAGAAATCCTGTAACTGCAGGTAGAGAATACTTTCTGAAAAAACCGCATTTAGCTTCTCTGTTTCTGCTGTTGGTGCTTTTGTGTTTGTCCTCAGCGCTAAATGTTATTTCAATGTGATTGTAGAAAAGGTATTTTTCATAAAATTGGTGATTGGCTTTTTATGTGTTGTAATAATATAATTCTATATTCATGTGTTTAGTCATTTAAATGTTGAGAGTAATTTGGTTTAACGGTATTCTTTACCCCCAAATGTTCTATTTGTATCAATGAATCCCCCAGTTGAAGTTATCGTGAGTATATGACTGAACAAATGAGACTTGGGTCATACTGACTGAGAAGCGATCAAGAAAACATTGTTTTTAATGATGTAGGGTATCCCATGACATTAAAGTATATCAGAATCAGGTTGCCAAGAAGGTTTATACAAAAAAAGAAATGACACAGTAAAAGGAAAACAAGTTTAAACAAGGACATTTAGAACAAAAATATAAAACTTAAAATTTTTTAAAACATTTGAAGAAATGCAGATATATACAAAAAAGAACAAAGTATATGACAATTGAATCTGAAAAATAAAGTATTTCATTTTATGTGCAACATATATATACTGCACAAGCTGTGTGAGAGATTGAGAACAGATTTATTTTTAGACTTCTTTGGAGGCATGTGGGAAAAACATAGTTTAACATTGAATTAAAGTAAACGTGAGAAATCGATATATAAAAAGCATATTCAGAGTAAAAAAGTCTCTAATTGTTTAAAAAAAAGCTGGTATTTTCTCCAAATGAAGAACACGTGTCAGGTTCAACAGGTATGTGTTCAAAGCATTTTTTTTATTGCGCTGAAGTATCTTTTACTCTTAAATCGACTTAAATTTGAATACGTGCAACTACTTTATGAGACACCTTCTTCATAGGGCAAAGGCCTCATGATTCACTGTAAATATGTAAGAAAATATATAGAATAAAGACACAAATAATAGTTTCAAAACGTAATGGTTACTCTTTGACCCATGCTACATCCTTACACCAACTTTCATGACATTTGAGCCAGTATGTTTTTCTGTGATCTGCCGAAAATGGCCAACTTTAAGACCATATGTAACTACCATAACAAGTTAATTAACATGACATCCCTCCGGTTAGATAAGAATAACTGTCAGGCTGTATATATAATATATTGCTAGTGTTTTAATTAAGTCAGCCTTATCGTGTATGGACAGTTTAATCACATGTTGTTGACTGAAGGGAAGCTGCACTCTCAGCTTTTTATTCTTATTGATTCATTCGAGCCACGACGACCTTTAACCCCAGGTCTGTTTGTGCAGTGCATGCTGGGTAAGTTGAGCAGAGGGATGGTTGGATGAGTTTTGGGACGACGGCTGCAGCAGGTAAGGTTTCTCTTACAGACATTACTGCATTTAAAATGTATGCACTTTTAGAGTATCACAAGTATTTACATTCCTCCTTGTTTTCCTGCAGAGTTTAAAGTGACTCAGTCTTAGTGTTGGACTATACAGAGTAGGTAACAGCACATTTACTCGTGTATTATAGTGCAATATTGAGTACTTTGAATACTTGAGTATTTTATTTTCATGCCTCTTTAAACTTTTACTGCAATACAACTCAAAAGGGAATGCTGTACTCTTGACCTCAACATATCTATCTTACAGCTTTAGTAACTTCAAGTTTTAAAAACACAAAACGTAACCGATATTTTCTTAAACAGCAAAATAAATGAACCAACCAGCGAATTGATAAATACGGAAGAGGATTAGGGCCACATCAAAAAAAAATTTGTCAGGATTTGAAAAAAAATATTTTTTTCAAATCCTCACAAAAAAATTTTTTATGTGGCCCTAATCCTCTTCCGTAGATAAATAATGAAATAGCATCGATAAACATTAAACATTATATTTTTACATTAAACATTATATATATTTTTTTATAATTTAGTATTTTTGGGGTGTTTTTTTAATGATTTATTATTTCCTATATATTATTTTCTATGGTTAATAATTTTTTATTATACCTTTACTTAAGTAACATTTCCAATTGAGGACTTTTACTTAAAGTCAAAGTCAGCTTTATTGTCAAGAATTCTACATCCAGAAATATCGAAATATCGTTTCTCGAGGTCCTACAGTTTAAAATGTTAATAATATGTTAAAGTGTTCAGCGGAGATGGCAGAAAAGTGACTGGTGCTGGATGAGGAAGGTTGGTTTTGTGTGTGTGTGTGTGTGTGGGTTAGAGTCCAGGACCATTTGGGGCAGGGGAGAAAGGTCGGAGGCAGGGTGGAGAGTTCAGGGGAGAGATGTCAGAGAGAGATAGGGAGGGGAGAGAGTTCAGCATCCTGACCGCCTGGTGGAGGAAGCTGATCCCCAGCCTGACGGAGCCCGAGCTGAGGCTGCGGAACCTTCTTCCTGAAGGCAGGAGGCTGCTGGAGGGGTGGGTGGAGTCACCCACAATGCTGAGTGCTTTGCGGGTGAGGCGGGTGTTGTATAGGTCCTGTAGTGAGGGGAGCGAGGCACCGATGATCCTCTGGGCAGAGTTCACTATGCGCTGCAGGCTCTTGCGGTCGGCGGCGGTGCAGCTTCCGAACCACAGCGTGATACAGCTGCTGAGGATGCTCTCGGTGGCGCCTCGATAAAAGGACAGCACGATGGGGGGTGATGCTCTGGCTCGCTTGAGGTTCCGGATGAAGTACAGGCGCTGCTGGGCTTTCCTCGTTGGGGGGTGGTGTTGATTTTCCAGGTGAGGTCATCAGTGATGGTCACCCCAAGGAATTTGGTGCTGGTCACCTGCGTCACAGCAGCGCCGTTGATGATCAGGGGGAGAGGGGGTCGACGGTGGGTTCTCCTGAAGTCAACAACTATCTCCTTTGTTTTCTCCAGGTTGAGGAAGAGGTTGTTGTTGCTGGTTCACTTCCTTCCTGTAGTTATTCTCATCGTTGTTGCTGATGAGACCCACCACAGTAGTGTCGTCTGCAAACTTCACGATGTGGTTGGAGCTGAAGTTGGGTTTGCAGTAGTGGGTCAGCAGAGTGAAGAGAAGGGGGCTGAGCACACATCATTGGGGGGCCCCCGTACTCAGTATGATGGTGTTTGAGGTGTTATTGTTTACCCGTACAGCTTGTGGTCTCTCTGTGAGGAAGTCCAGCAACCAGTTACAGAGAGAGGGGCTGAGGCCCAGGTCTGTACGTTTTTTTACAAGCTGCTGGGGGATGATGGTGTTGAATGCTGAGCTGAAGTCTATGAATAGCATTCTGACTTATGGGTCCTTAGTCTTAGTGTCCAGGTGTGTGAGGGCTGGGTGGAGAGCGGAGGAGATTGCATCCTCTGTGTCTCCTACCATGCAAAATGCACTTTTTGATGTCTTGTATACATCAACATGTGTCCCGTGTGTCGGGGAACTCACGCAGCGTCAGAAAATAAAACCCTCTCTCTTTTCCTCAAATCTCTAAAAACGGGGAACAACGGAGCTGATCCAGATTTGCGTTCGATATGACGTAATATCTGAAATGTGGACCCACGGCCCAATCAGAAACGTTGCTATCAGAAACAATGCCCGACTGTTTTGGACGTAATATGGTCGGTGTTTACATTAGCATCGCTAACACTCAGAGCTAACCTGTACTGGAGAGCATGTGTGTGAAGAAGCAGGAAGTAAAAAGGAACTCACCTTGTGGTATAACCGGCAAGAGAGAAAGCCTTTGAGCTCCAAACTGTTTCAGAGAGAATCCTTGATGATCCATGATATGGCGTTTCATCACGGCAGCATTTAGTTTAGACAGTAGCTGCCGGGTCCCGCATGAGCTCAGACCCTCCTCTTTAAAGCTTTATACCCAGATCAGCACTTTAGAAACAGGAAGTGAAACAGAGGGATATGAGGCATGGCTAGAATGATCTGTTTGGTGTTTTGAGCCAAACACTTCATAGACATGTTTTTTATATATTTGTATATATCTGAGACCTATGCTGTTGCCTAGAAATAGCATTATAGGTGACCTTAAACCAGAATTTGTTCTGGTGTCTGGATATGACTAAAATAAACATTTTTATATCAAATATCTAAGTGTTCTCTATGTATTTATTTTTGTTGTTTTAAAAAAAACACGTGAAAGTTTGACAGTTGCTGGCAATCGTGAGATTTTGGGAAAAACACATTTGGAGAGTCAACGGTCAAATGGCTGAAAGTCCTAGAACCGGTTTGTTTATCTAAGAAACACATACCTCATTCACACCAACGGTGTTTCAGGGCCGGTTCAGAGCTGGAGCTTGAACCAGGGTTTTCCTGTTCACACCGCAGCGGAGCAGCCTCTTAGCTCCGGAATCCGGTTCGTTTCAAGCACCAAAAAATTGTCCGGCCAGAGCAAAAGCACTGCATACAGTGGGGCAAAAAAGTATTTAGTCAGCCACCAATTGTGCAAGTTCTCCCACTTAAAAAGATGAGAGGCCTGTAATTTTCATCCTAGGTACACTTCAACCATGAGAGACAGAATGGGGGAAAGAATCCAGGAAATCACATTGTAGGATTTTTAATGAATGAATTGGTAAATTCCTCGGTAAAATAAGTATTTGGTCACCTACAAACAAACAAGATTTCTGGCTCTCACAGACCTGTAACTTCTTCTTTAAGAGCCTCCTCTGTCCTCCACTTGTTAACTGTATTAATGGCACCTGTTTGAACTCGTTATCAGTATAAAAGACACCTGTCCACAACCTCAAACAGTCACACTCCAAACTCCACTATGGCCAAGACCAAAGAGCTGTCAAAGGACACCAGAAACTAAATGGTAGACCTGCACCAGGCTGGGAAGACTGAATCTGCAATAGGTAAGCAGCTTGGTGTGAAGAAATCAACTGTGGGAGCAATTATTAGAAAATGGAAGACATACAAGACCACTGATAATCTCCCTCGATCTGGGGCTCCACGCAAGATCTCACCCCGTGGGGTCAGAATGATCACAAGAACGGTGAGCAAAAATCCCAGAGCCACACGGGGGGACCGAGTCAATGACCTGCAGAGAGCTGGGACCAAAGTAACAAAGGCTACCATCAGTAACACACTACGCCGCCAGGGACTCAAATCCTGCAGTGCCAGACGTGTCCCCCTGCTTAAGCCAGTACATGTCCAGGCCCGTCTGAAGTTTGCTAGAGAGCATTTAGATGATCCAGAAGAGGATTGGGAGAATGTCATATGGTCAGATGAAACCAAAATAGAACTTTTTGGTAAAAACTCAACTAGACGTGTTTGGAGGAGAAATAATGCTGAGTTGCATCTAGTGTTAATTTCGTCAGCTATTTTTTAATTTAGTTTTAGTCTTAGTCCTGTGTTAAATTTCCTTTTTAGTTTTAGTCATATTTAGTCACCTTCATCCTGTTTTATTTAGTCAAGTTTTAGTCGACTAAAAGTCTGAGCATTTTAGTCATATTTTAGTCAAAGAAAACTAATTATTTGAGTCTACTTTTTGTCAATAAAAACTGTTGAGTATTTTTTAGTCATCAGATTATATAGAACATTTCAGTCAAACTAGTCTAGCCAAAACCAATAATTTGTCATTTTAGTATATATAAATAAATAAGATTATATCTTGTTCTTATTTGATGAAAAACACAGGTTGAATGATTAAGAATGCAGCTTCGCAGAGTGTATCTGGTTTGTGGTGTTTTACTCTGTTTTGGCCACATTGCTTCCCTTCTGATGAAACAATGCATTCGCTTTTTCTCTCCACCTCATTGTAGCGAAAATGGGCCCAAATATCACATCGTTTCTTTCTCCCAAGCAGTGGTGGCTTTAGACTTTTTCGTTGTCAGTCATTTTGACGGATCGTAACATTTCCGTCATAATCCATTATTATCCGTAGAGTGCACAATTTATTAATCACTCGCGCTGACGGGGGGTATTCGGTTAACGCGAGTGCGACCACTGCTCCCAAGCCCTGTTGCCATTTCATTTTCTGTTAAATAAGGTTAGTTAGACCATGAATTAGAACCGAGTCTTCCTGACAGTTCACAGTGTGCCGCTGCCCGGTGTAATTCAAATCTACCGCCGCACAGACACACAGCTGCTGCCCTGCCGCAGCCCCGGAAATGGAACTGCTGGGAGAAAAACTGACTATCAGAGATGTAACGTTATCTTTGATAATATTTCGTCTCCTCATTTTTCGTCAACGAAAGTAAAGAGAGATTTTGGCATAGTTTTTATTTAATGAACTACATTTTCGTCTCGTCACTTTTCGTCAACGATATTGCATGATGATTTCGTTACAGTTATTGTTTACTGCCGTCGGTGCCGTCTCGTCATCGTCTCGTTTTCGTCATGGAAAAAAAGGTCGTTGACGAACATATTTCGTCATAGATTTAGTCAACGAAATTAACACTAGTTGCATCCAAAGAACACCATACCTACTGTGAAACATGGGGGTGGAAACATCATGCTTTGGGGCTGTTTTTCTGCAAAGGGACCAGGACGACTGATCCGTGTAAAGGAAAGAATGAATGGGGCCATGTATCGTGAGATTTTGAGTCCATCAGCAAGGGCATTGAAGATGAAACGTGGCTGGGTCTTTCAGCATGACAATGATCCCAAACACACCGCCCGGGCAATGAAGGAGTGGCTTCGTAAGAAGCATTTCAAGGTCCTGGAGTGGCCTAGCCAGTCTCCAGATCTCAACCCCATAAAAAATCTTTGGAGGGAGTTGAAAGTCCGTGTTGCCCAGCGACAGCCCCAAAACATCACTGCTCTAGAGGAGATCTGCATGGAGGAATGGGCCAGAATACCAGCAACAGTGTGTGAAGACCTTGTGAAGACTTACAGAAAACGTTTGACCTCTGTCATTGCCAACAAAGGGTATATAACAAAGTATTGAGATGAACTTTTGTTATTGACCAAATACTTATTTTCCACCATAATTTGCAAATAAATGTGATTTTCTGGATTTTTTTCTTTTCTCATTGTCTCTCATAGTTGAGGTATACGTAGGATGAAAATTACAGGCCTCTCATCTTTTTAAGTGGGAGAACTTGCACAATTGGTGGCTGACTAAATACTTTTTTGCCCCACTGTACGTCACGCTTACGTCGAGGCGGGGGCAGGATCAACTCCTGAACAACAACAAGAAGCCCATGTTTTATCCAGTTTGTACACAACGATGGAGAAACTTAACAAGAGTTTCAGCCATAGACTGTATAGAGGCTTTGCATATGACGTCACGGGTAACGGGACGTCAGCCCAACGGCCATACTGGAGTATCAAAACAGACACCGTAATACTCATACCTGTTTTTTATCGGACATATAATGGTTAACTTCTGTGCCATTGTTGGCTGCGGCAACAGAGGTGATCGAAACAGGGAGCCGAAGTCATTTACAGGCTGCCGGCGGTTATAACACACCAGGGTGAAGCAACACATGAACTTTCAAAGCGTCGACGGGAAACATGGCTCAATAGGATCGGACGGGAGGATCTCAAACCATCCAACCACAACTATACTCGCGTTTGTGGGGATCATTTCACGTCAGGTAAGTGTCGGGTTTTACATACAAACATTCAAAATCAACATACAACCCACGTACTAAGACATGCATCTTAACAAGGAAATAGGAATCCTGGAGTCTGTGTCATCGATCGACATTTCAGATTGTGGAGTATCTACAAACTAAAGTCATCCCTTGGCCCGGGTCATCTTCCCACCAGTCTGTCAATCCCCTGCAGCGCTTCGTTTAACTGTAATTTAAAGTAATTCCTCCCCCTACTGGCCATTTGATTATATGTAAACAGCAAAGGCTGTACAGTCCCTGGCATCTTTTCAGAGGCTTTTGGTTTCCTCAATTATTTGTCATGTTCCAATGTCTTGACACCAGCATTTTAAATATATCTAAAGTCTGACTTCGCCTGTCAAAAGAGGTCACATTTGTATGAATTAACAGTTCACCCAGGATATAACTGACCTACAATCTGATTTATTTGCAGGTAAACCAGTGGCACTTTTTGACAAAAATCATCCTGACTGGGCACCGTCTGTCAAATTGGGCCAGGAGAAAATTACAGCACCTTCCCCTGCTACACATGCCAGTTATAAACGCGCCAGAAAAAGGTCATCCATTGCACTACTTGATCTCTACAGCATGGTGTCTGATATACCATCTCCAGAAGAGCCCGCACCAGTCCTGGGAGCCACTGGGGAAGAAGAAGGACTGATTGAACCAGAGACTGGCACTGCAACTCAGACTGATTGGACTGGTGAAATGATTGACAAAATGTCATTTGAAATTAATAATGTAACAACAGAAAATGTTAACTTAAAAGAAAAGCTTGTAAAGTCCACAATTTCAGAGAGTACATTTAAGGGCGATGATGACCGTGTGCGGTTCTACACGGGACTTCCTACTTTTGCCATTCTAATGATGGTTTTCATTGACAGGCCATCAAATGTAATGGCACGGGCTCAGACTTGGTCAAACTACAAACATCACAACACCATAACATTTCTCATAGGAATCTGTCCGCAGGGTGTTATATCATTCATTTCAAGGGCATGGGGTGGCAGGTCCAGTGATAAGGATAACATGGTGGCTTCTTACTGTAGATAACATTTTGCCTGGTGATTTGATTTTGGCAGACCGAGGTTTCAATATAAGTGACTCAGTGGGTTTCATGTGTGCTGAGGTTAAGGTGCCTGCATTCATGAAAGGCCGGAAACAATTATCAATGAAAGATGTTATTGACACAAGGAAAATTGCTAACGTGCAAATTCATGTTGAGCGTGTCACAGGATGTGTAAGGCAGCGATATACCATTTTGGGAGGACCAATTCCTATAGATTTTTTACTTTCTAAAGATGTAGATGGGATTACATTGATGGATAAAATAGCTGAAGTGTGCTGCGACCTGAATAATGTGTGTGATACTGTAATACCCGTTGATTGAGCCTTTACATTCTGTTACACCCCAATTAACCCACATCAGATTGAAAAATATGATATGTTTGTATTGTAATTATTATTACATTATTGTCAATGTTGTACTTGGTCAATTAAATGTCTTGATAATCAGAAAAGTGATTTGGGGTTTGGTTGTGTAGGGGAATGTTTGAAAAATGATTTAAGCTGTTTTCGGCTTTATGGTCCATTTCTAGGCAGTTCTCACTTTTTAAACTAGAAAGCGGCTTCGGAAATGTTGACAAAGTCACTTTTGGGACAAAATCGGCATTGTGTGGAGCTGAGATTGTCAATATTGCACACTTCCTTCCAGTAGATTTCAGTGACGCCAGGAAAGACTGTTGCTCAGCATCTGTCGCTTTTGGAATTTCCCTCGAGTGACGTAAAAGTGGTGGTGTTGTTTTTGTTGTTAAATTAGCTGCATCACCAAGACTGTCAATTGCTTGGCTTAAACGATTCCTTCGGGTTTTAGCCGAAGTAAAGTCAATGTCAGCAACAGGGGAAGGTGTTACATCCTTGACTGATCCAGGTAGAAGCCAATACGCCTTTTCCTGGGTAACTGTCTTGGCATCACGTATCCGTATAGATGTTTCTATGTAGAAAAGGAGAGATGCAACATGGGTACATGTCGATCCCAAACCAGCCTTGCAGTTGCAGTTAGCTGTGATGACTGCACCATCCTTCTTCATCAGTACCCACGGACATGTTGGCGGCAGCCCAATACTCTGAGAATGCAATACCTGAAAAATAAAATATGATTGGATTGTTGACTATTTAGAACCACCAATATTTTGGTCCAACTTTACTTTCAAATACTGATTGTTTACACAACCAGTGGGTGGTCAGCTCTTGTCATATTCCTATGCTAGGTAGCTCATAACAGAAGCTGACAACCAAGAATAGGTTCACAACTTTTGTAATTTAAATATATTGCAATATATAATAAAGCTTTAGTTATAAAGACCTTTTCATAAAGCACGTGTAGCTCAAAGTGCTTTACAAAATGGCACACATCACAAGTTAAAAATAGACCACAAGAAATTCCCCTCAGATCAGATGTTAAGACCTTTACAGGCACATGCAGCATAGCAACAACATATAACATTTTAACAGGTTAAGAGACACGAGGAGGTAAAAGGTATGATAATACAAATAAATAATAAGACACAAGACTAAGTTTATTGATGCAACAACATCCCTATAAAATAAAGTAAACATATAGATATAGGTACAACAAAAATAAAAGCTGGTGTTTAAAAATGTCCACTGAGTTGGCCTCTGATATTTCTTGGTAGCGTCGTAGTGGATACAAGCAGCCTCACCCATTTTATTTTGGGGGACTTTAGGGATATTTAAAAAGCCAGCTGAAGAGGACCTCACGAAATATTTACTCATTTTTCCAGCTATTACAGCCACATCTCCTTGATATGCAACGCAAACGTCGCGGATCCACCCGGATGTGAACTCTTTATGTGCCTCGAGTCCTTTGTACGCCTTCATTTCCTCCATGGTGTACAATGGAATAGGCGAAAAAACCAGGTAGTTCACGATATCACAGTAGGAAAGTGAAGGCCATGCATTTATATCGGTGCTGTAATCCTTAAAGGGAATCAAATAAGGGTCCACCGAACCAATCGACGCACATTTTTCTCTGTAAACGGTCTTATCCTCCGGGTTTAGTGATTCGTAGTAGCCTTTCATTTTCGCCATTTTTGAACGCTGCCGCCAGTAGAGTGATACTCCAAGATGTCTGCCGCGAAGCCTCTATATAAAGGTTTCTGCTCATAGTGAAGCAACGTGTCTGCGTGTTAAGGTGGAACCTGAGCATTCACGTTGATCACCTCTCATTATAAATCTATAAAACTATAAATATTAAACTTTACTTCACGTGTTCATTTGAGAACAGCTGTTACATACCTGGGTGAAGGTTACAGTTCATTTAAATGAAAGATACAACGTTACTCCACACTCATGGTTCAGTCCACCTTAAGAAATAAGACCGACCTCGGAAGCAGTTGTGTTTTAAAAAAACCTTTATTGACACGAGTACACTTTTTTATAAGAATATAACTAAACCACAAAAATGACTCCGGAAAAGCTGCAGATAGAGCCATAATAAATGAATACAACTGATTTCATCCGCACGGTTTGGCTTTATGAAGCAGGCACGCAAACGGTTACGTCATGACGCAAATGATGACGCAACGACGCATTACTAGTCGGACTCTGGGCTGTGTGAAAAGAGCCAGAGCTAAACCGAAGAACTGGTTCTGAACCTCAAAAGCTCTAGCACGGAGCTTGAACCGGAGTTGCGTTGGTGTGAATGAGGTATAGTTTCTGCTGCTCAACCAACCATTATTTTAACCTGTTTAGCCCCAAGCCTGTTTTTCAGGTCTCAGGCTCGAAAATGACATTCCCAGAACAAATGACCATATCTTCCCTTCTAAAAGGGTTAAATTAATAATCTTTTTTCTCAAAGTAATGATAAACCTGTGAGTTGGATGTAGAGAAGTCAGAATCAATATAGATGTTTTTTATTTTAAAGACAATTCAGATTGAACATATTAAAAAACTGTAAATGATTGTGTCCGTCCAAAAATAAATCATTGCTTATAGTGAAAACCACCCTTGAATGATGGGATGGTAAACTAAAAGCTTTAGGAATCCAAACTATAACATATAATAAGTACCCTGTATCAAGATTGATGTAAAACAAGTGACATTTGACCTTTTTAGAGAGATTTAGCAAAAACAAACTCCACCTCTGAGGTGATTTGGGTGGAAATGGGCATTTTTGCCGTTTCTCTGGAACCCATTGGTCGATTTTGATGATTTTTGAATCGTTAGAGCCAATAGAATTGAAGGGGGATTTCCACATACACACCAACGTTACCATTGAGAAATGAGAGCTATGCGCACGCAGTTTGCCCGAAGCGAAACTTATTTTACGCTCTGAAATCTGAAAACTAGTTGTATTGCTCATGGATGATCAGAAATCATTCAAAGTGACACATTGGATTAACCTATGGATTAACTTCAGCAGCGTTTTTATCATTTTAATGCCATTGAAGACCACTTTAGATCAGAAAACAACAAAGGTAAGACATGTTGCCGTGTTGGCTACCTCATGCTACGTGGTGTGATGTCTTTGTTAGCTTCTCATGTCGCGAGTTCGGATCGGTCAGTAATGATACCAGTACCTGTCGAGTCTGTGCAATCTCAGTTTGCTATTGATATCTTGTTTGTGCAGATACGATAAGTAATAAGGGTATTTTAACTGTGATTTATGTGCTAAGGGTGTTAGCATTTCTTCGCTCACGGCTAATTCAGAGCCTTTATTATTACCCTTATGTTTCGTTTTGCTAAAAATGGTTAATATGATCTGATAGCTGAGTTTCTTCCCGTTAAGTGGGTATGACACATTCATAGGTTTTTAAATATTAAGAAGACCTCAGACGCTGTTTCCTGCCGATTATGCGTTTTCCCCCCACTGGCAGTTATGGGGCTTAACAGGTTTGAAAAGATAAACCGCAACATTTTCATTTTCACGAGTCAACACTTTGGTGTTTCTCGATGTCGAGGACGCTTCCTTGGTAGGACATGTCCCTCCGAGTCAGGTCCTTCAGAAGCGAGGCAAGAACAGGCTAACATGTGTGCAGGTGTGCGTCATATGCGAGGCCCCGCCTTAAATGGAGCGCGATTTCCACCAAAGACTTTGGAAATTGGTCCGTGTGCAAAGCATTGTGGGGATTTTAAGACCGCGGAGGATACTTTGTTACTGTACTTAAGTACATTTTTCTGGTATCAGTACTTTATTCCACTACTTATTTTCCTGACGACTTTTTACTTTAACTTCTCACATGTTGAACTCAAATACCTGTACTTTCTACTTCTTACATGTTGAACCCAAATACCTGTACTTTCTACTTCTTACATGTTGAACACAAATACCTGTACTTTCTACTTCTTACATGTTGAACCCAAATACCTGTACTTTCTACTTCTTACATGTTGAACACAAATACCTGTACTTTCTACTTCCTACATGTTGAACACAAATACCTGTACTTTCTACTTCTTACATGTTGAACTCAAATACCTGTATTTTCTACTTCTTACATGTTGAACCCAAATACCTGTACTTTCTACTTCTTACATGTTGAACAACACAAATACCTGTACTTTCTACTTCTTACATGTTGAACAACACAAATACCTGTACTTTCTACTTCTTACATGTTGAACTCAAATACCTGTACTTTCTACTTCTTACATGTTGAACCCAAATACCTGTACTTTCTACTTCTTACATGTTGAACCCAAATACCTGTACTTTCTACTTCTTACATGTTGAACTCAAATACCTGTACTTTCTAATTCTTACATGTTGAACAACACAAATACCTGTACTTTCTACTTCTTACATGTTGAACTCAAATACCTGTACTTTCTACTTCTTACATGTTGAACAACACAAATACCTGTACTTTCTACTTCTTACATGTTGAACTCAAATACCTGTACTTTCTACTTCTTACATGTTGAACAACACAAATACCTGTACTTTCTACTTCTTACATGTTGAACACAAATACCTGTACTTTCTACTTCTTACATGTTGAACCCAAATACCTGTACTTTCTACTTCTTACATGTTGAACTCAAATACCTGTACTTTCTACTTCTTACATGTTGAACACAAATACCTGTACTTTCTACTTCTTACATGTTGAACACAAATACCTGTACTTTCTACTTCTTACATGTTGAACACAAATACCTGTACTTTCTACTTCTTACATGTTGAACTCAAATACCTGTACTTTCTACTTCTTACATGTTGAACCCAAATACCTGTACTTTCTACTTCTTACATGTTGAACACAAGTACCTGTACTTTCTACTTCTTACATGTTGAACCCAAATACCTGTACTTTCTACTTCTTACATGTTGAACACAAATACCTGTACTTTCTACTTCTTACATGTTGAACTCAAATACCTGTACTTTCTACTTCTTACATGTTGAACAACACAAATACCTGTACTTTCTACTTCTTACATGTTGAACTCAAATACCTGTACTTTCTACTTCTCACATGTTGAACAACACAAATACCTGTACTTTCTACTTCCTACATGTTGAACTCAAATACCTGTACTTTCTACTTCCTACATGTTGAACACAAGTACCTGTACTTTCTACTTCTTACATGTTGAACTCAAATACCTGTACTTTCTACTTCTTACATGTTGAACACAAATACCTGTACTTTCTACTTCCTACATGTTGAACACAAATACCTGTACTTTCTACTTCTTACATGTTGAACCCAAATACCTGTACTTTCTACTTCTTACATGTTGAACACAAGTACCTGTACTTTCTACTTCTTACATGTTGAACAACACAAATACCTGTACTTTCTACTTCTTACATGTTGAACACAAATACCTGTACTTTCTACTTCTTACATGTTGAACTCAAATACCTGTACTTTCTACTTCTTACATGTTGAACCCAAATACCTGTACTTTCTACTTCTTACATGTTGAACACAAATACCTGTACTTTCTACTTCTTACATGTTGAACAACACAAATACCTGTACTTTCTACTTCCTACATGTTGAACACAAATACCTGTACTTTCTACTTCTTACATGTTGAACACAAATACCTGTACTTTCTACTTCTCACATGTTGAACACAAATACCTGTACTTTCTACTTCTTACATGTTGAACTCAAATACCTGTACTTTCTACTTCTTACATGTTGAACCCAAATACCTGTACTTTCTACTTCTTACATGTTGAACTCAAATACCTGTACTTTCTACTTCTTACATATTGAACTCAAATACCTGTACTTTCTACTTCTTACATGTTGAACTCAAATACCTGTACTTTCTACTTCTTACATGTTGAACTCAAATACCTGTACTTTCTACTTCTTACATGTTGAACTCAAATACCTGTACTTTCTACTTCTTACATGTTGAACTCAAATACCTGTACTTTCTACTTCTTACATGTTGAACTCAAATACTTGTACTTTCTACTTCTCTCATTTTCCAAACAGCTGGTTCCTTTAGTCTGAATGTGTGTTTGATGCGTGATCATTATTCTTTAGAGTCATTGTGTGCCTATTGATTTGAACACGATCCGTGTATCCATCATTTCCTGGTCTCCTCTAAAGAAGAGGGACCAATGGAAACGTTGTCATGTTGCCGTTGTTCAGCATGGAAACATTCATTAGCTAACAATGACATTATTGTTCTATTAATATAAAGGGAGGTCAGGTACTCTTTAAAGCAGCTGCTAGTTATGGGTACTTTTTACTGAAGTACATTTCAAAGCCTCTTTACTTTCACTTGAGTAAAGAAGTTTAGTCAGTACTTCTACTTTCACCAGAGTATATTTAAACACGAGTATCTGTACTTCTACTTGAGTAAAGGATGTGTGTACTTCTGCCATCTCTGTCTCTCCTCAGATGATGTCAGAGTCCAGCCCCCTCACGTCTCACGTCCTGAACACAGCAGACGGGGTGCCAGCGGCTCGTCTGCCCCTCAGCCTGCACAGACTGGATCCCCGGATCATGATCTGGACCCTGCTGAGTGTCGGGTAGAGAGACAAAATAACATCAAATATCCATTATAATTAATTTAGGAATTGTGACTAAACATAGAAAACAATCGTCTTTTTTCTAGAGATAGGTTTAAGGGTTTGTGACAAAACCTCAGGAGAAGATTCTTAGTTTGTTTAAAAGGTCTTCTATCATGCAAAATGCACTTTTTGATGTCTTCTCTACATCACCATGTGTTCTGGAAGTAATATTGTCTGTGTTTACATTAGCATGCTAACACTCAGAGCTAACCTGTACAGGAGAGAGTGTGTGTGAAGAAGCAGGAAATCAAAAGGAACTCACCTTGTGGTAAACCTGAGAGATACCTCATTCACACCAACGGTGTTTCAGGGCCGGTTCGGAGCTGGAGCTTGAACCAGGGTTTTCCTGTTCACACCGCAGCGGAGCAGCCTCTTAGCTCCGGAATCCGGTTCATTTCAAGCACCAAAAAATTGTCCGACCAGATCAAAAGCACCGCATACGTCACGCTTACGTCGAGGCGGGGGCAGGGGCGGGATCAACTCCTGAACAACAACAACAAGCCGGCGTTTTATCCAGTTTGTACAGAACGATGGAGAAACTTAACAAGCAGCAGTGGTCCACTGAAGAGACCAGCTACCTGCTGGGAATCTGGTCTTCAGAAGACGTACAGAGGAAGCTGGAGCACAATCGGCCATTGTTGTTGTTGTCGGTGTGAGCTGTGAGGGGTTTCCGCGCGGTTTGGCTTCATGAAGCAGGCACGCAAACGGTTACGTCATGACGCAAACGATGACGCAATGACGCAGCACCAGTCGGACTCTGGGCGGTGTGAAAAGAGCCGGAGCTAAACCGAAGAACCGGTTCTGAACCTCAAAAGCTCTAGCACGGAGATTGTACCGGAGTTGCGTTGGTGTGAATGAGGTAAAAGAGAAAGAGTTTGAGCTCCATACTGGTTCAGAGAGAATCCTTCATGTGGTTTGGAACATGATGTGAAAAATATATGAAAGACCCAAAGGATCAGAGTCCTTTAAAGGAACGTCATAACTCAGAAGTTTTATGATTTTTAGAACTACAAATGAAGATGGCCGCTGCGCAGGGCTCATCAGCAGAGAGGCGTTCGGCCCCGGGATGTACAAACTGCGCTTTGAGACGGGATCGTACTGGGAGAGTCTGGGTCAGAGCTCCTTCTACCCGTATGTGGAGGTGAGATTCAGCATCTATTCATCTGGAGCAGGAGAATCTATAAACTAAGACATGGTCATCAGCTGCTGTCAAACAAAACTCATCTACAGTTTCATATGTAGTGTCTCTACTTTAAAGAGTCCTCTCCTACTGATGTTCAGGTGTATATCAGTATGTAGTGTCTCTACTTTAAAGAGTCCTCTCCTGCTGATGTTCAGGTGTATATCAGTATGTAGTGTCTCTACTTTAAAGAGTCCTCTCCTGCTGATGTTCAGGTGTATATCAGTATGTAGTGTCTCTACTTTAAAGAGTCCTCTCCTGCTGATGTTCAGGTGTATATCAGTATGTAGTGTCTCTACTTTAAAGAGTCCTCTCCTGCTGATGTTCAGGTGTATATCAGTATGTAGTGTCTCTACTTTAAAGAGTCCTCTCCTGCTGGTTGTTCAGGTTGTATATCAGTATGTACTGTCTCTACTTTAAAGAGTCCTCTCCTGCTGATGTTCAGGTGTATATCAGTATGTAGTGATTCTACTTAAAGAGTCCTCTCCTGCTGATGTTCAGGTGTATATCAGTATGTAGTGTCTCTACTTTAAAGAGTCCTCTCCTGCTGATGTTCAGGTGTATATCAGTATGTAGTGTCTCTACTTTAAAGAGTCCTCTCCTGCTGATGTTCAGGTGTATAGCAGTATGTAGTGTCTCTACTTTAAAGAGTCCTCTCCTGCTGATGTTCAGGTGTATATCAGTATGTAGTGTCTCTACTTTAAAGAGTCCTCTCCTGCTGATGTTCAGGTGTATATCAGTATATAGTGTCTCTACTTTAAAGAGTCCTCTCCTGCTGATGTTCAGGTGTATATCAGTATGTAGTGTCTCTACTTTAAAGAGTCCTCTCCTGCTGATGATCAGGTGTATATCAGTATGTAGTGTCTCTACTTTAAAGAGATGTCCAGCCCCTTAGCCAATCACGTACAATGTGTTGGAGCACTAGCCAATAGGAGCTAGAGTGTTACATAGTGATGTAACCTTAAACAATTAAAAAAACTAATGTGGATTATGTCCTGGATAAACCACAATATTAATTTCTGGTTTAACCTTTCTGGATGTTTCTTTTTGAATTAATCTAAGAATATGTGTTCACATAAGGTTATTTATTTCATATAGTAATAGGTTGTTATTTTTGTTATTGGTAAGTATTACATTATCGCAGACACATCTGAAAAAAACCGTGTTTTCCCAATTTTTTATCAAAGATATAAATATTCATGCTGTAACGTGTCCTGCAATGTAATAACCAAGCACCCTTTGGAGGTGACCAGTAGCCGCCACAAGGTGTCACCACAAGGTGTCACCACAAGGTGTCACCACAAGGTGTCGCCACAAGGTGTCACCACAAGGTGTCGCCACAAAGTGTCGCCACAAGGTGTCGCCACAAGGTGTCGCCACAAGGTGTCGCCACAAGGTGTCGCCACAAGGTGTCGCCACAAGGTGTCGCCACAAGGTGTCGCCACAAGGTGTCGCCACAAGGTGTCACCACAAGGTGGTCGGCCCACCACAAGTGTCGCCACAATGGTGTCCGCCACAAGGTGTCGCCACAAGTCACCACAAGGTTGTCCCACAATAGGTGTCAGCCACAAGGTGTCCACCATACAAGGGTCGCCACAAAGTCGCACAAAGGTGTCGCCACAAGGTGTCGCCACAAAGTGTCGCCACAAGTCGCCACAGGTGTCGCACACAAGGTGTCG